ATTAACCCCCGCCGGAAAACAAAATTCGGGGCTTTTTTTTTTTTTAAAGGGGGGGGGGGGGGGTCCCCCCCCGCCAAAAAAAAAAAAAAAAAAAAAAAAAAAAAAAAAAAAAAAAAAAAAAAAAAAAAAAAAAAAAAAAAAAAAAAAAAATTCGGGTAGAACACCATCTCATCTGACCTCCTCATCGGTGAGGCGCACGACACCCCTCACGGATACGTGCGATTCGCCGCCAATCACAGCACGACAATCTGGGCATCTATGGCGGCAGCCAAGATCAAACAGTGTGAGGTTAACAAGAGCTTGAAGATGCAAGCTGGTCAAGTATCAACGCGATGACGGCATACAAGACGGTGATGTCGAAACGATAGGCTCTTACGTTGAGCGCTCCATGGGCATAGTGCAGTTGTCGACGCAGTACAAGTGGCCCTGAATTGCATGCGGCAAGAAAGCATAGCCACGGCAAACACAGTGCAAGTGGGTTTGTGACCGCAAAGGAATGCGCGTGGCTGCGCAGCGACTCATCAAGACTCACGTTTGGACACTTATACCAGCCCACCCAGGGCGATTCGTTCAACACCATCGAGAAGTCGTTGCCCGGCATGCCTGGCAAAAAGTGTTTCTGGGTGCTCTCTGGATGCCAGACCAACTGGCAGATTCAAAGCCACACCACCCAGCAAAGTAGACAGTTGAGCACGGCAGAAAATCGCATGGTTGGGGCAGAGCTCAAGAAAACAGCAAGAGTCGATCTTTGTACCTGCCCAATCCAGCTGTCGGGTTGCTCCACAGCCAATATAGCCACCAAGGCACACAACTAATAGCATTCGTTCGTTGGCATCATAACACAAATTTCGCATCAGGTTCCTTGCGAGCCAACTCTCAGACGTGGTAGCGGAGCCTCAAGATATTCTTCTAGCACACACCAAAAGCTCGGATCAAGCTGCACAATGACCGTACCTGGGTATTCATATTGCGCAAGAACGGCAACGTGTTGGGTGTACGGCAATGCTGGGTTTTCCCTGCCAATTGAAAGCCATTCAAGGCCCAATCTAGGATTTCTTGTTCTGGGACAGGCACAATACAAAGGGAACGTGAGCTGTATCGCCATCGTCGCATTCTCATGCGCATGGGCCTACACTCACGTGTCGAGCCGAGCAAGGGTTTATAGGTGCGCTCAAGCCATGTCTTGACAACTGTTGACTTGATGTTGTCCTCACAAGAATGCACAACGTGCAGAAGCGCCCCGACCCAAGTCGGGAGGTGCTTGGCGGGGTCGCGAAAAACCTTGGCGGTGAAAATATTGTCCAGCAAATCAGTGCTGCCAGTGTGGTGAGCCCGGTGCACCGCTATCAGTATTTCGCTGTATGCTTGGCTCTCTAGGCAGCGGAAGACGTCAATGTGGTTCTGCGAGGAGCGCGACCCACGCGCGCTTGCTCCGTAAACGTGTGCCAGGCTTCGAATGGGAGCCAAAAATGGGGTCACGGCCTCACCCAACGACAGGGCGTCAAGTAGAGCACTGGGGCCATGCGCGGAAACCATAACTTTTACAAAGAAGTCAGCCCCTTCAGGCCTTGTCAGAATCAACTGCACAGGGTCTGGGAACTCTGGACTGGCTGGAATTCGGCGCATCATGTGCTCCATGGCGCGGCGAAGGGCACATTTGGCCTGTTCAAAGGTGGCAGCTTGAATTGGCAGTTGGCCGTTTGTGTCAGGCAGCGCTGGCTCGGCCAAAACCACGCCAACGTCAGCTGCTTGCAAGGGCTTCTCCGTGTCTAGTTGCTCGGTGCGTGCGCAGTCAAGTACAAAAAGTTGCAAGGCAATGAGTCCTGCTTCCTGCGTGCACCCCTCAAGGCATGCCAGCAGCCTGTAGTAAGGCGTGTCATCCGTTGTCTTGAGCCACCCATACAGCGTGTAAATGGCGCCCAAAGCCACACGCAACTGATCCTGCAGCGTCTGCTGGACCAGACACTCTGAGGGCCACTCTAGGCGAGCCAGGTCTGTCAGCAATTGCACAGCATCCGGCACATGGTTCACCAAGGCCGGCAAGCACGAGTAGACAAGCTCCACGCAATGCGCAGCCAGCAGGGGCGTCAGCAAGGCCCAACCATTGCTTCCGACAAAGTCGGTATCATCCAAAAGAGTAAGATCACGTACGAGGCGCAGAGATTGAGCTTCAATAGCAGCAACCTCATCCTGAGTGCTCTGTCCTTTTCGCAAGTGCATGCAGACGGTCAAGGCCTGACCGATGAGCCGGGTCAGAAACACCTGCCGACCGCAGACCGTGGCTTGTGGAGTTTGATTCTCCAACAAAAGACTTTCCATGGCACTTGCATCAACGACGAGCTGAAGAGAATGCCGATAGGCATCGATTAGTCGGGGCTGTGCTCGCAGACTCTGCATGGCATCGCGCACACAGGTCTCAACAATGGCACAATCGCCTTGAGCCAGCAATCGGTCTGGCCGGTATTCGGTCGTAACCCACTTTTCAAGGTCGGGGTGGTGCTCTGCCAGCGCCAGCAAAGCCTTGAAACGCTGCTCAAGGAGAGCACAGGCTCCACTCAAAAGCGCGGCGTGTGTCAGTGCTCGCGGAGACAGGCAGGTCGCAAGGTGCAATGCCATGCGCGTGCAAGCGCTGTTTGACAGCGAACCATGTCGGCCAAAAGTTTGGAGCAATAGTGAGTCCATGTAGGCATCAGGCGGCACATTCAGATGGGCCAGTTCGAGCTGCTGCATCAGTGAGCTGGGGAGGAGCAAAGCCAACCGTGCTTCATATGCAGCAAGAGGGTCACCAACAGCATCATCACTTGCTTGAACAGCTGCCGGCTCTTCGGACGTTTCCACTCCACCTTCACCAGCCACTGAGTCTTGCAGCATGGCCTGGGCTGGCGCGAAGAAGAGCGCCAGCAAACTTTGTTGGCGGGGAAGAACCTCTCGAGCAAAGCAATTCAGGCCAGAATTTTCGACGGCAATGGTGCGCTGGCGCTGGGGCTTGTAGCCAAAGGCAACCACATCCATCTTCAACCCAATCTGTCGCTCCAAAAGTTCGCTCCAAAGCTCAACCACGGCGGTGTTTTGGTGAACAAAGGCTTGGTGCAAGAGATGCAGGCCAAAATCTTGCTCCAGCAGAGCGTAAGCGAAGGATGTTGCGTCGACCACGAGATCACGCAACGCCGCTTGGAGCGATTCAAAGAGGCAACTCACTTGAAACGAGCAAGCCCACTGCACGTGCAAGTGAATGCCTCGCGCGTCAGCCTGATTGGCCCGACGCAGGAATCCCACGACCAACTTTAGAAGCTGATCAGTAAAGGTCGGCTGCTTGAGCAAGTCATTGAACTCACGCAACCGGTCATACACGGTGGCGTAAACCTGTGCTGGGACCACTGTCTGTACCACGACTCGATGGTAGTGCTCGCGAAGGATGGCGACCGCGTCGATCTGTTGTGTCTTGATGAGCGTGGCGGCATCCAGCTCCAGGAGTGCGCGCAGCTGGCCCAGCTGCTGTGACGAGTGCTGCAGGTTGTCACAGTACAGGGTGTCCCAGCCACCACGAAAGACGAGCGGGAAATCGCGACCACGTTGCTTCACAGAAGAAGGCAAATGTATCACAACCACAATGAGTGGTCGGCCAGACTCTGTGGACCATTCAGCACGGCGCGCTGCTTCGTCTTCAACAGCTGCTTGGTCAGGTGCAGTATCCTCTGCCTCAAGCGCAGAGCGCCAAGCTGCATCTGCTGCACGCTGACGGGCCTGGCAGAGGAAAATTGTGTGATTAATGGCTTCTTTGCGCGTCTCAAGAGCATCGCACGAGATGAGGAAAACCCGGCGCGGCTCGTTTTGGGGCTTGTGCGCCGCTTGTCGAGCACGTGTAGCGCCTTCAAAGAAGCGGTCAAGTCGGCTGGTCAGCTGATCCTCGCTATGAAAGTGTGAGAGCTGCTCGTGCTCTAGCAATGTGCCGGGAAGCAGCTGTTGCAGATCGCCAAGACGCGGTATGTCCCCGGCCGGTGACGGCGTCAACACGAGCAGGAGTGACTGCGGTGCTGGCGTGGGTTCAGCGCCGGTAGCAGGGGTATCAGTCTCGTTCATCCCTGTAGTCGTGGGGACGAGCCGTGCTGCCTCTGTCGACGCGATTTCACTCGGTGCAGCGTCCGATGTTTCCACAGTGCATGCCATATTGTCCGCGGCGGCTCGTTCGGCCGCCTGACGCTGGACTCGATGTGCGGCGCAGGTGCGACGACGAGCGGCCTCAAAAGCGTCTCGCCGTTGCAAATGACGTTTCAGCAGGACCTGCAGGCTTGCTTGGGCTTTGAAATAAGAGTCCACGCCACGGGGAAACTGTTGCTGAAGGGTGGGTGAGAACTGGACGGCAACTGGCGAAGCGCACCGAGCCAACATAGCCTTGGCAACCTGGGACGCTTGTAGGCACTCATCATGCGTGGGTTGCTGGGAGTATTCTGCGCCTTGGATGAGCGCACTGGCCACACTATCGCGTTGGAATGAAGGAAAGATGCCCGTGAGACGCAGGCCACATTCTTCTTGGATTGCATGAAGGAAAGATTTGATGTCATCCAAAGCCACGGCGTAGCGGCGGGAGGTCCAGTCACTGGGGCGGAGTAGTTGACGCTCAAAACGATTCAAAAATGGCAAGTCTAGCGAATTGCGGGCACTGTCCTCCACGATCACAATAATTTTGAACCCGGCTTGCACCTCGACCAGCTGCGAACGCGAGCCAATCGCCAGGCGCAGCATGCGCTTGACCTGGCCATTTTTGCCCTGCTTGACGACATACTTTTGGTTCAACGCGTCATACCTAGGCACACAACCAAGTGCAGTGTAATGAGCATAGAAAATCGACAAAGACAAAACCAATTTCACAATGACACAAGCGTGGGTATGGATGGTCAGGAATTGTGGTCTGAGCGCATAGGAGAGCGCATATGCGCGTTACATCCACCAGAAAACAATTAAAAAGAAAATATAAAAATATAAAACACACACACACACACACACACACACACACACACACACACACACACACACACACACACACACACACACACACACACACACACACACACACACACACACACACACACACACACACACACACACACACACACACACACACACACACACACACACACACACACACACACACACACACACGCACATACACACACACACACACACTCACAGGCTCTCGAAGATATTAAAAGTGTTGACCAATACGAGAAGCTTGCCCGTCTTCATGGCACGCCGCACGCGATTGATCTGCTGCACCAGCTTGAGCTCATCAGCGTCGCTGCTAAACTGTGAGCCGATGAGAATTTCGCTGTGGGTCAAATCAACGAGCCCTGAGCCCGTCAAAATGTCGAGGGCGCTGCCGTACGAAGTGAAGAGCAAGAGATGGCGAGCAAGTGGGTCGCTCAAGTTGTCCAGCACCAGCCGCCCCACGTGCAGTGGGCCTGAGGCAGGGGCGTAGCCGACGCAATGCTGATGGAAGAGCTTATTGGCTACATCCAAAAGCTTGCTGTTGCCTCCGAAATTGCGGCAGACGCACATGTTGAGAAATTCGCTAGTAATGTTGCCCTTGAACCTGACAACGGACTCGCCCGTTTTGCGCTTGATGAGCTTGAGCAATGAATAGAAATCGCGCATGCCGAAAAAAACGCGATCTTTGCCATTCTCCGCACGTTGCAGTAGCGCGTGGTAAGCCAGAGCCAATGGCCGCAGCAGCTTCTTGAGCAAGGCCGCCTGGCCTGGCGCGTGAACGCCATGTTGCAGAATGTGCTCGCCGGTCTCTTCCAGCGATTCAAGCGAAGGATGAGGGCGGGCTAAACACAAAGCGCGGTTCATCTTGGCTGCATCCAAAGCCTATATCGCCGGACGAGTAGCAAAGTGGTGTTCAGAATGGGCCAAGAAGATGCTTCAAACGAGGAATGGAAGGTATTGTTAAAACTCTCTGCAGCGCCGTACAAGAGAACGCACCCAATTGGAAACAGCAACAATGGGGACCCGGGGCTCTGCCAGCATGCCATGCAGCACTTTGAGGGGCATGTCAGGGCTAAACTCAGCGAGGCCAACCTCATCAAGTACCAAGACACTGAGAGCATCCTTGGCGTGTTCTTGGTATCGGCAGGCCTGAAAGAATGCGCCATCGAGGCATGCAAAGTGAGCAGGCAGACACGCATGCAGACGGAACCGGAAAAAGGGAAAGAAGAGAGAGAGAGAGAGAGAGAGAGAGAGAGAGAGAGAGAGAGAGAGAGAGAGAGAGAGAGAGAGAGAGAGAGAGAGAGAGAGAGAGAGAGAGAGAGAGAGAGAGAGAGAGAGAGAGAGAGAGAGAGAGAGAGAGAGAGAGAGAGAGAGAGAAACAAACAAAGCACGGTCTGACCACTTGGTACTGGGAAAGAATTCCCGCAGCTGTTGACAGTGGCGAGCACTGAAACTGAAAAAGAGTGACGGCCGGGAACTTGCGCCAAAATTCACGGGGGCTCTGTTTGCCTTGCAGGTTGCTCAAGATGACCTGCAAAGCCAACGTTTTGGAGCTGCCTGGCTTGCCCACAATAAATGTGGGCAGCGTGTTCAGAGTTGCGATGATGGTGACAAAGACGTTCTCAGAGAGTGCGTCGTTCATGGCAATGTCATCATCCGTCTAAAACCCCCACAAATTCCAGCACACGACAATGAATAAGTCTGAGTGAACAAGGAGTAAAAGCAAATTGTGCAAAGTGCGGACGACAAGTAGAGGGACAAGATTGAGGATGGTTGGCAAACCCCAGCTTCTGCAAGGAGGGAGCAGAGGCTGGTTTGGTTGTTGTGAAGCGAGTATGCCATCAACCCACCTGGATATTAGCACAGAACTTGTTGCGAATGTGTCGAAGAATTCGACCAAACATGCCTCGCTTGCGCAGCACGTCTAGGCGTTGCTCCATCAAAGCGTGGGTGTTGAAGTCACCCGAATCGCGAAGCTTCTGCCAGTATCCTTCACGATCAGCCTCTGAATTGAGCCGATACCAATACGTAAAAGCCAGTGCTAATGTAAAGGCTACGCCCAGCGGGCTGATCTTTTGCTGGGAGGCTTGATCGGTGCCGCTGGTCACGTGATCCAAGAACCATTGGGTCAGGTGCAGGCAACGACGCACATCGCGCAGACTGGCCGCGCTTGAGTCGCCCTCCACATTGCGAATGTAAGCTTGCGACGCAGAGATCAGCACACGCAAAAGATGTATGCACGATGGCTCCTTCGCAAGGTGCATGGCTTCAATCATGCGCTCAATGTAAGATGCCTCTTGATGGCTTGTTAGCTGCCCAAAGTCAAACACATACTCATAAAGCGTGTCTGGGACAGCGTTGACGCGGTACACGAGCTCGCTCATGGTATCGGTCTGCTCACGGTTGAGACTGAAGATAAGGCCGGGTGTAACAGCTGCCGCCCGCTGACGGCGCCGATAAGGGTTGAGGGCGCCGAGAACCCGAACGCCCGGATGAAGAAAGCGGTCCCGAAGGCGGCGCTCGCAGAAAACAGTCTTGATGAATCCCGTGTGCTCGCAGGCGTTAAATTCGTCCAAAAAGACAAGGACGCGCGCACCTTCCTGCGCAGCGTGTTCTGCTTTGGCAAAAGTGGTCTCAATGTCGTCTACTGTGGTCCCTCCATGCACGTCTAGGATCACAAGTTCGGCTCCCAGCCAACGGGCTAAGAAGCGCAAGAGTGCTGTCTTGCCGGCACCGCACTCGCCCTGCAGCAACACAGGTAGCCCAGCCTGCATGCGCGTAAAGACGGAGACCATCTTCATGACATTGTCCAAGGTTAGCACGTAGGTGCCATCTGCTAGAGCTTCCTCGTTGCGCACGCCCGTCACGAATGCAAGGGCATCTGCCAGCCGCGTGTTCAAGTCTGAAACAGAGTGAGGAACGAGCACATCCAAGCTCTCAAGCAGACGCACAGTTTCCAGACCAAGCTTGAGAGAGCGCAGCATGTAAGGCATGAGGCTCAATAGCATGGCCGATGATGACCGGGCCTCCATACCAGCCACCTGCCCCTCTCGGTCTCCTTGAGTGCTCTGGTTACCATCTGCGGCTGCCACATCGGCCTGGGCTGAAAATACCAGGCTTGAGTTCTGAAACACCAAAAAGTCATGACTTGACTTCTCCCAGCCCAGGATATCAATGATGGGTTGGGTTTCGTCACGCAGCGCAAGGGAGGCGAAGGGTGCCTGAGCGTCGGTACTGGGTTGAGATGATGACGCATCCCCCTCTGTGGTTAGCTGCGTAGTTTCTTCACGTGTCGCAGTGGGCAGAAGATGTCGCAGTTCATCAATGTTGCAGGCAAACTTGTCCTCATCCTTGTCGGTCAACGAGTACTGAGCGCGGAACCAGCCCCTTTCCGTGCTGGCAGCATATGGGCGAAACGCACCGTCAATGGCCTCAAAGATAAGCCATTGTTGTTGGTGACGGACGGCTCGAAAGCGGCCGCTTGGATGCTGAAGCGCACCCAGCCAATCCACGGGTTCGGGCTCGAGTGGAAGGTACTGCCCAAGTGCTGGCTCATCGTTGGAGTCTTGGGAAGTGATGGTCAGTCCGTTTCTTGCGCCGCCAACCTGGTTGTTGGCTGTGGAAGAGCGCTGCGTACGCCAGTCGTCTAGAGGCTGCGGGGCGCGCCCTGCATCGTCGGCCTGCATCTCTGCACCAGGTTCAACAGAGGACACGTGCGTCCATTTTGTAGGTTGCGCCATAATCACCGTCCACGGCCGAGTGCTGGGATCCAATGAGAAGCAGGCGATACCATCAAAGCCCTTGCGCCGAGACTGGCCACCTGTCCACAAACGCAGACGACGACTGGAGCCAATGTTCCAGCAGCCCGCACATACAAGAACAACGCAACAGGTGAGGAAACAAGGGTGAAGCACGGCGTTGTTCTGTGGATTGGGGACACACGTACTTGAAACGGAAATCAAAGCCCGAATGACTGTTGACTGCCGTAAAGTGAGGTTCGAAATCCACGTCTTTTCCACGTGTATAGGTGTTGCGCAAACTCATCAGGCTAGCGGGCTGCTCAAGACCAGCCATGGCCTCGTGGCTTGGCATAAACTAAGATACCCACGGGACAAGGGAAAGCAAACGCTTTGTGAGTGGTTGGTCAGGTGAAGGGCATGCAAGAAACCAAGGCACTTTTAAGCGCGACAAGGTCACAGGTGGGTGCAGGGGGTGTGTACCCACGGCACAGAAGCGCATGGGCTCACAACCTTGCTCCTGCTGCATCCTTGCAGTTGTCAATCAAAGCCCTGCTCACCCGAATGCTCGCAGAAGAGGAGGTGCTAACGAGAACATCTTGACGCAAGGACATTTCCTTGGCGGTATTGAGAACAAAGAGCATGATAAGTGCGGCATGCTTCGAGCCTTCACGGTCTTGCTTCAGTCGCTCTAGCAAGCCACCCTCCTCGAAGAGGCGTTTCAGGGAATTGTAGGCGATTTTCACAAAGGCCCAGAGCGTGTGAAAGCTGAGACCATCCCGCGTTTCGGGCACCGCATTCAGCAGGACTTCCGAGGCCATGCGGCCATGTAATTCATCGGCTGGGGGTGGCGCATAAGCCGCACGGAGGGGAAACTCCTGCCCGCTGTTGTCCTGCAAAATGAGCAAAATGCCCACTAGGTATCGAAGCTTGAAGGCAGCATCCTCATCAGGCGCATCTTCGGGACCCAAGAATTCATGGGGCAACATGGCATCGCGCAGCTCGTCAGCTGATGTTTGGAGCGTCGACGGATCAAAGAGCAATGTCTCGCCAGGTAGCGCTCGGGGTATGAACATGGTGCGGGTGGCTGCCCCATTTCCCAACTCTACGATAAACTCCACGTTGCGGTAGTCCCAATAGAAGCTGGCCTGGTGGGCGGCCAACACGCGAGTGCTCGCCAGCGTCAGCAGTGCGCGTTGAAAGTAGCCCGCATCGCTGGGATGAAGGTCCACGTCCAAATGTACCACACACGGTTCTGGTGTGGCGGTCTGGCTAGTGGCGGCCAGCAGGTTTGCCACCAAGGTCTCGACCAGTGCCTCGTGGTGGTGAACAGCCACGTAGTGATAGCGTCGACGCGAACGTCGCGCTAATTGTCGAATGCGGTGCGACTTGCCGCTACCAGCTCCCTGAGGCCCCATCAGCAACTTGAAGCCAGCTGTTTCTTGGTCCGCATGTAAACGGAGCAGATGTTGAATGGCCAATGGGTCAACCACCCGTTTGGGTGACTGTGCGGAGCTAAGCAGGGCAGCGAGTTGATGTGTAGCAACGCTACCTGTTACGACCAGAAGAGGATTACTGGCCTCAAAGCGCCGCTCATTGATGAGTTGTGCAATGACTGCCTGTTTGGCTTGCGCACATTCGTAGGCCATAAGTACATGGACACCGGGTCCCTGGGTCGCGTCTCTATTGCACCAGCGGAAAAGGAAGGTGGAAACGCTGTCCAGCGGTGTATCATCACCGCAGAGAAGCAAAGTTTGCGCTTCGGGCATGTGGCCGTGGGCCACAAATTCTCCCATGCTGAGAAGCCAGGCATCCTCAGCACTAGCAGCGCAGACGACGCGCAACCGAGGAAGCTCCACGTCTTCGGTCCGCTCCTTATCCAGATGGGCATCGGACATGTGATAGTGCTCTCGAGGAAACGCACGGATCGGCAGCGGTAAATCAGCCACGCCTGCATGCAAAGCGTCGGCAAGGAGAACAAGGATTTGCTGCGCCGACGGTCCCTTGCGCGAAGCTTGCGAGCGCTTCTCCGCGCCGGCAGCAGGGGCAGCAAGGACTGGTACACAAGCATTCGTGGCCAGGGTGATCGAGGTGGCTGGTTCGGCCCAGGCGGCATTACCAGTGCGCCAGGCTCCAAGTACCCGCAAGGCCACTTCCTCAACAACTTCAGACTCATGTGCCAGATCCACGTTCCACGAGCCAACCACTTCACGAGCCGCTTGCAGGCTGAAGCGGTGTTCTACAAGCTCTCGCAAAAAAGTCCAAAGCTGGCTCACGCGAAAGGTGGCCATTGCGTGGCGCGCCTGGCGGAGCTGCATAAGCTGCGTGCGCCAGGCGTCGCGCATGTCGCGGTAGCGCCGATACTGCAGCCGCACTTCGTCTGCAGTCAAACTCAGAGACAGGTTCACCTGGTATGCCATAAAATTGACGTGACCCATGTCTTGAAGCTCCAGTAGGGTGGTATGCAGAAGCTTGGCCCAGTGAAACTGGCCAATAAACTGGTCCACGTGTTCCTGTCGTGTACCGCCGGGTCCATCACGCAGCAAGACGCTGGCATTGAAATCTTCAAGCTCTGCCAATGAACGCTGTTTGGCAATCTTCTTTCCCTTGACGTTGACAATGTAGGTTACACACAGGCTAGGGTCAACGTCGGGCCAAGCTGCGGCAAAACGCCAGCATGCCTCACTGGCTGGGGACAGCAGTTTGAGTAATTGGCTAGAGGCCGCATCACCAATGGGGTCGACCAGCTCACTCAGAGGCTGCAATACACCCTGAACGGTCTCCAGGCTGACCGCAGTCTGGTTCCAGTCTGTGGTCTCCATGTCCTCAAGAATCGCCAGTAACTCATCGACGTGGCCAAGAATATCTTGTCGCCGATATATAAAGGGATAGAATTGGCGACGCACTGTCTCCAGGCGGGCCAACATCTTGTCGTCCACGTGGCCATCAACCCAGAGCTCAAAGGGGCACTCGCTTTCGTTCTTACCGAGGGCCATTTCAATGCTGGCCTTGAAGTCGCTGTCCGAGAAAAAGGTCAGGCGCAACCACGCAAAGAGGGTGGCATGGGCCTGCAACAACTGAATCGGGCGCTGCTCCACTTTTAGCACACTGGGGTGCACGGCCAGCAGGCGCTGAGCTGGCACTGTCAGGGCAGCCAAAGAGGCCTCATCTAACGTTTCGGCCACATCGATGCTCGCGTTGTGCAGAAGCGTGGCCCAAGTGCGGGCTTCGCGCTGGCCAATCTCACTCAAAAGAGGCGACATTTCCTTGAGCAGGTCTTGCACAGTCACTCGCTTCTTCACAAGCTCAATGAGATGAAGAGCTGCCTGCATGTCTGCGTGCAGCTGCGGGGCTGTTTGTATGCGTTCATCATTCACCAAGTCCAAGTCCAAGTCCAAGTCCAAATCTTCTTTGGTCAGCATCGGTGCTGGCGAGATCGCCGCCTCAATGCTTGGCTCAAGTTCAGCGTCACGTTTCCGCAAGCCAGTACGCAGCAGCAGGCGCACACTGCCCTCGGTCCACAACTGGCGCCAAGCATAAAGACGAGATGCATGAATAGCTCGAACCGAAACCTCCTGCGCCAAACTCTGCCAGTGCGCCACAAAATCCGGCAAATCAGCGACTGATTGGCCAAACGTGTGCCATACTGCCAGGAACAGCGCATCCTCGCGCAGGGAAAGCAGCCACGGAAGGGCCTTCAGAAGAAGCGTTGGGAGCAGCTGAGAGGCGCCCTCATCGTCCGTCGCCTGAAAGCTCTGAAGCGCCAGCTCCTCGGTGGGTACACCGGCAGCTTCAGCAACGGGCTGGCGTAAGCGGTGCGCGGTGACGCACAGCGGCATCGAGCGCCAGGTGGCCTGGATGTCCTCAAAGGTCGTGGCGGAGGGGTCTGTGGGTAACAGATCTTCAAACACGCGGCCCAACTGAGCAAGCAACCGACGGTATGCCTCCATATCTCCTTGGGCTTGAACGAGAAGGGCATATGCGGTCGGAGAGTGGCCTGGCAGAGCCATTGAGAAGTCACGGCGCTTGCGCAGCAAAGCTTGCAAGGCATCCGGACAAATCGTGCGCGCCTGAAGGGCAAGATAGGCCCGTTCGACGACGTCTTGCAAGCCCCCGCTGCAGGATGTCATTTGTGCCCACGCCGCCTTCATGCGAGGTTCGAGTCGGTGCTCTTCAGGCAATGAAAAGCGATCGGCCTCTTCCTGATGGAACCAACTAAGAAAGCGGGCCACGAAGGTAACGTGGCTTGCTAGCCAGGCTTGTCCGGCTAAGTCGAGAGCTTGGCCGCGACAGGCATCCAAAAGGGGTTGTAGCTCATGGGCCAAAGGCGCGGTGGCGGCCTCGATCAGGCCGTACAGGAACACGCGGTGAGCAAGCCGGCGATCCGCTTCCACCAACGCATTGAGAGCTGCAATAGCTTCCCACAGCTCGTCGTCGGGACACCGGTGGACATTTTGAACGACAGCCTTCATGGTGCGGCCGAGCACGTGTGGTGCAATTTCAAAGTCTTGCAAAATTGTGGGCATGGCAGCAAGGGTAGCGGGCAGATGATCCTCGCTGCACAGCTGGTGCAGTTGTAGCTGTAGGAGGCCATCGGTGACGTCGCGGTCCTCCTTGAGTTGAACGTGGGTTTCCGACCACCAATGCAACACTTGTAGCAATCGGCGGCGCACATGCGTCGCAAGACCGCCTGCAGCAGCAGCACGTTCAGCCTCGCCATCGGCCTTATCCTGCTGTCGGCGTGCAGTTTGAGCTGCTTCGACAAGCGCCACCATGGCTGCCGCAAGCTGGGGACTAGCTGCAGGTTGAACATTAGCCAGCACAAGGCGCAGAAATGGCAGCATGCCGGGCAATAAAGTGGCGCCCTGGCGAGCCCGCAGATTCTTGGAAACAAAAATCCGCGTCAGGTGTGCCTCAGTCAGGAAGCCTGCCTTTTGCAAAGCGGCCAGGCCCTCAAAGTCAGAGGTGATGGAGCTTTTTGGCCAAGCGTAGGTGCCAAGAAAGTTGAGAAGATTGTTCTGAGCAAGGGCACGGCCGTCACTGGCCTGCAAAAGAGGCTCGGCCAGAAGCGAAGCCCAGAGCTGCAGCGAAGGCACGGTGTTGAGGAGACAGCGCCAATGCTCCAGAACATCGGCCTGCCGACGTTGAGCACGGTCTTGTCCTAGGTGCTTGACCTCAGAGCGAAAGAGCTGCTCACGCAGATCATGCGCAGCGGCATCGGTGGCAGTGGCGCAGCTGCGCAACTGCGTGGTGATGCCTTCCATTGCTCGAAAGGCTGTTTCGTTTGCAGCACGAAGCTGCGCGAGGGCCGCCACGTAGTCAGTCAGCATCTTCTGAAATTGTAGCTGGCCATGTGCCCGTGCAGTCGGTGAAGCGAGGTATCGCAATTTGTGGGAGCCTTGTTCGCAAACCAGTACGCCACCGTCGGGGAGCGCATGCAGGGTGCGGGGCTCGCTCATGCGTGCCACCAGGCCCGAGCCATCAATGAACTGATCTTGATTGCCTCCGGTCTGAGTTGCAGCGTCCCCAGCCTCACGGGCGCTTCGCACGACCGGCACAACCACGCGCTCCTCCATGAGGATGGCGGAGATGCGATCATTCTCGAGATCTGCAACCAGCAAATCTCCGTCCGTGTCGAGAGCCACGCTCGATGGGGTGCGGAAAAGTGACTCAAGAATCTTGCCATATCGGCGGCCCGCCCGCCCTGGCACACCAGCAACAAGCTTCAAGCTCCAATCTGAGGTGTTGAGGGCCCGAATGCAGTGGTTGCCGGCATCGGCAATGGCCACGACTGTGCGACGCTGGTTCAGAAAACACATGCCTCGGGGCTGATTCAGCTGGGTGGATCCGCGTCGGCCGTCGGCAAAGCCAGCGGTGCGACTGCCCGCCACCGTGGTCACGGTCCAGTTCTTGTCCTTCTGCATGTAAGAGGCAGCAAGCGGGCAAAACATTGAGCGGCAGCCCGCACAGACGTCTTGTGCACATTCGGTGGTAGGAAGCGAAATGGCTTGGCTTTGCCGGATAGTGGTCTTGGAAGCATCAAGATACACACCTGCAACTGCAACAGTCGAATGCTGTTGTTGGCCTCATCGGAGATTAAGATGCGCTTCTCGTCCAAAACCAACAGGTCACTGGGCTGATTGAATTGCGCCTTGGAAACTGCTCCCTCAGCGCCACCAGCTTGACCGGGCTGGCCGGCAAAGGTCTTGACGGTGCTCAGACTGCGGGAAATACTGCGAATGCAGTGGTTTGCCGAGTCGGCGACCAAAAAGCTGCCATCCTCCAGCTGGCAAATCCCCGATGGGCGATGAAAGCAAGCGTCACTAAGACGGCCGTCCCGATGGGCGGCCAAGGGTACATCATGGCCCCCTATTTGAGCGTGCACGCAATCAACTTGAGAAAGCGCCAGTCCCCACCAGCGGCACATGCATTTTGTGTTGATTTTGGCGGAGAAGCCACAGTGACACAGTTGCCTTTCAAGCATGGAACACAGTGTGATGGCCAGGACGTATAGGTTTGCAAAACAAACAAACAAACAAACAAACATTCGAACATGAACGTTCTATTGGGGGGTTTTTTTCTCCCCGAGTTCAAATACGCACCATGGTTGAGACACTCTGTTTCGCCAGTTAGCAGGTTGACGAGCCGAATGCTGTTGTTGTTTCGCTCCGTCAGAAGAATGCTGCGCACAATCAAAATGCACAATGGGGTTTGCCATGAACGATATCATCAAATTATCATCGAGCAGTGAGTTGCGCCAAATAAAAAAATAGAAAAATGAAAAATAAAAAATATCTGTGCGTGTGCATGTGCGTGCAGCCACAAACCTGTCATCTTTGTACAAAGCCACGCCATAGGGGTTGGCCAGCTGAACGCGGCGAGCACGAAGTTCAAAAACACGCAAATTGTCGGGCACGGGCCGACCGCGCGCCACAAGCCGGTCAATCTGTTGTCGCGTGCGCCTGTTTTGGGCTTCTATTAGGTCCCGGCGCTGGTTCTCCAAGTGCGAGTCCACAAAGCCCGAAAAGCCAGTGCCCGCAATGGTTGTGAGACGATAGTCGATGGGATCAAAACGATCCTCGAGGCGAGTGGGTTCGTTGGCCGCGTCTGCATCGGCCAGCGCGCCTTCTTGCAGCTTGCGGACGGTGGCTTTGCACAACTGGCGCAAACGCGTCTTGCTTTTGTCCTCTAAAGGGACCTTGAGCAGAACTTCGTCGTCGGCCTGAAAATTGAAGCGCTGGCTCAATCGCTGCACACCAACGTCGTTGAGATAGTTGCCACGGACGCGTGCCGTCATTTGGCGCACCTGCAAAAACAAACCCCCGTGACCCAAGAGGCAGGAGAAAGCGATTCAAGTGAAAGCAGGAATGTGTGCAGGAGTGGCGGCAAGCAGCACCACTCGGCGAATCGCGCAGGGCGAGGAAACAAAGGTGCAAAGTGCACGGGGAGGGAGTTGGCCGTACCGTCGCGAGTTGATTCAGTTGTTCATCGGCCTTTTGGACCTGCGCTTCAACCTTGGCCAGGGCATTTGGGGTGGTCTGGATCTGCTTGGGAACGCTGACAATCCACTTGAGTGTTCTGTAGGCTTCAGTTCGCCGAGTGGCATCATCAGAAATGGCCAGCAGGCGCTGAATCTCTTGCACAGCCGCGGGGCGCAGGCGCTGACTGAGTGCCTCGATCTGCAAGTGCAGGGGCGGGGAAAAAAACGGAAAAAGTCGATGTGACGCAAAAACTGGACTATGAAGTTGCGACGCTGGATAACGCATTCAATGTGTCTCCACGTTGAGATTGGCTGGTTAGCAATATGCGTCGGCATCCTCACCTGGTGCGCGACCAAGAGAGTACGTGGTAGATTGTCGGGATTGCGGGCATCGCGAAAGAACTGAGGCAACTTGGATTGGCCGGGTTTGTATGTGACCGCATCTCGCAAGCCTCCCATGTCGCTGGCCAAGCGGTTCAGGTCCGGGGCAAGGTCACAGCGCAAGCTACGGGGGCTCAAGCGGCGCAGTGCGTTTTCTAGAGGGCGGGCAAGTGCTTGCAATAGGGCATGGGCCCGCAAAGAGCGAAAGCTCCAAGCCAGGCTGGCTGCGTCAAGGTCCACCAGTAGCATGAGGCCTTGACATGCAGCTCCATAAACGGCTTCATAGCCACTGGACCACCACGCGCTGTTGTTGCGCTGGGCAGCCCAAGCACCGAGCTCGTGGGTGTCGCTGGCACTGAGTGTGCAGTTGGCCCAGAGTGCCAGAATCGTGGTTGAGGGCTGGAGCTTGAACACTGGGATCGGCGATAGTGCAGGAAAATTGGTGGCGTAAGACAGGTTCCGCGAGTAGTTTCAAGCCTTCACATGGGTAGCCTACCTGCAGCCCATTGGGCAAGTAAGCAGAGGACCCAGATCACGTGCTGGGCCGGGGTAAGGTCCGGCAGGGCCTCCCGACAGGCAGCCACGTAGTGCTGAAAACCATCCTCGTTGTCAATGTTTTGATGCCGCATGGTGTCAAGCATGGGGCCTAGGGCATGTAAGATGGCCAACATGCGCGCTTCTACGGCTTGACGCGGTTCAGTGGCCTGGGCCTGCTTCAAAACGGCGGTGAGAGCATCGACCAGGGTCGGATAGCTTGAGGCGGGCAGCACGCCGTTGGGGCGAGCAACATCCAGGCTCAACCAAACATGAGTCGAGGTGGGTTGTCCTGGATCAATGAGGGCCGAGAAGCTGGCATCACCAGCAGCAGTGTGAAGATGCACCGTCAGGTGGGCAGGCCAGGGCGTGACAAAGTCCAGATCTGTGTGGGGCGTGGTGGATTGCCATGCCGTGGCATCTTGGTGCCAGCCAGCTGGAATTACGAGGCTTGCGACACTGAGATGCGAGCCATGTCGGCGCAGTGAGAGAGCCTGAGAGGGATCTCGATGGCGGAACTCAAGCCGACTTGTGGCCGGAAGCTCATCTGAGCCGGGGCCAGGCAGGACGGACAGCTGGCGCTGTACTCCCAGTGGGGGTGGATTTGACCCTAAGAATGGAGTGCGAGCGGGCGGTGAGAAAAATAAAGGCATTCAACATCGAGCAATAGAAGTCGCCGGGCGCGCGCGCATGTGTGTGTGTGTGTGTGTGTGTGTGTGTGTGTGCGTGTTTCAAGATGTCTTTGACCTTCAACGAGGCTCGTCTCTTCTGCGTGAACTGTGCATCGGGTGTCACAGGAACACACCCACCTGTGCGCTGGGGCAACGTCACCTGGGCTGGGGCCGAGGTGAGGCGGCCGACAGCTTGATCAAGGGCCCAGTCAGTCGGAGCAGCATCTGCCGTTATCGACAGCTGGCTACAGGTGATGACACCCTTGCGTTCGAGCTCACGGGGGCACAGCACGTAGAACGAGATGACGACTTCTAAAAGGGGCGGGAAGGGCGCACCCAGTGAGATTGCCAAGTGTCGAAGCTATGAACAGCGCGGTGTGAAAAGAGATCCACCAGCATGCTGCGGCCTCAAAGGGTACACCGGACGTAACAGACCATCATGGAGGCTGATGTTGTTGGGCCGACGGGGGAGATCCTTATTTACCAGCCCCGGGCGCGCCAGCATGCGGGCAAGAACCGGCATGCTTGCGCCTTCTCAAAAGTCAACCTCGCAGACCCGTTCTCAGCTCAATCACGGCACTGAGCCGGATCCTCCCCCCCCAAAAGAAAACAAACCAAAGCAGGCATACACTAAAACAGCAACGTGCCTCCCCCACTGCATCCAGATCCCCGATCTCATCCCTTGTCTCCCAAACAGAGAGAGCGAGAGCGGAGGAAGCAGAAGGTGGCGGACGACGAAGAAAAAAAAAAAATAAATGAGAGAGAGAGAGAGAGCTTGAGGGAGAGAGAGAGAGAGAGAGAAAGAGAGAGAGAGAGAGAGAGAGAGAAAGAGAGAGAGAGAGAGAGAGAGGTTTCTGGGTGTGTGTAGAGTTATGATGTCACAAAACAGGCGTCCGTGCTCTGTGACGGCCAGCTCTAAGAAAAGCACGGTGCTGGGAGACTTCTCTGCTTCTGCATGCTGTTTCAAGCTAAAAGTCTGGGCGATCTGGGCGCCATCTCTGACAACCCTGATAGGAGGAGCATAACTCTGCTCTCTATCTCTGATGTTGACATCGCTCCATCTAAAAATAGCAGAAGAAACCATCCTCCAGCTATAAATAGAATATCTGACAAGTTACGACGATAGCGTTCAGGCGTAACTTTATTCACACTTCCTTTCGCGCGCTTCTCTCTCTCTCTCTCTCGCTCTAAATTTTTTTTTTTTTCTTGCGGGCTGTTGGCGCTGTGAGTGAGGGAGGGGGTTGACGGCGTGTGTGTCGCATCATGAGCGCTCGACTGACGAGCGGGATAGAGTGATTGGACGCCATCTTGCGCTGGAAAGTTGGGGTGGCCGTGCCAGTTACCTTTCATTTCGTGTTGATTGTGCGGCCAAGGGAAGAGGCTGCAGCTGCGCGCGGCGGCAGGCGCCTTGGATTGAATGTGATAGTCCATCACCGACAGCATGAACTCGGCCACCGCCTACCGTGCCCTCTTCTCGGTGAGGTTTCCCGGCGCAAGCTCTGCAGTCTTCCCGCGCTCCGACCCGATACAGCGTTCTCTACACCAGCTCAACGCTTCCTTCTCTCACCTATCATGCTCGCTTGATTGGTAGGAGGCACGCACTGTCTTACAGGAATGGCAGCACGACGTACACGCCCTGCCGTGGATCATCAAGATTCCCAGCAGCATCAAGCTGCGTGTCGGTCCGTCACGTTGGCAGGCAGCTGGGCTATCAAGCCAGTGTTGTTTCTGCTCTTGCATTCTAAGCGACTGCTTGTTCTTGTTTCTTCCGGGTGTCCCAGGTTGGCTCTGGCCCACCGATCACATCTCGCTGCAGCTGAGCGTCGTCATCTCTGGCGTCCTCGCCTTACCGCTCATCATTTACAGGCAGGTCTTGGCGATTACCTAGCTATCGGCTTGGTCTTCGATTCGCTGATGCATACGGATTAGAGCCAGCTCACCTCTGTGCCAACGTGTACGCATCACAGCTTGTTGACTCTGGAATACGATGAGCATTATCGTATCGATAGCGCCGCCGGCGTAGCGGGCATTCTCATCTGCAACTGCATTCTGGTCACTGTAGGTGCCTGATGCCCTCAATTCGCGAGAGCTGCATGTTTTCGCGCCTCCAGCGAGGCTCACCCCGTGTGTTGTTCCGCATGAACTGGCCCGTGATGGCTTTTACACCCCTTTAGTATCTTCTCCGCCGGGAGCACCGACTCAAACAGAATGAAGTGGCACAGAATCTTGCCGCAATGTCCGTACTACACCTGCTCAAAGCTGCACCGTTCAGCTCAGCCCAGCCCAGAGCAAATCTCAACCCTGACATCACATTTCCACTTGCTTGTCATCCTGCTCTCTTTTTTTTTTGTGTGTCTTGGGGGATCTTTCCCGATGGTCAAACCTTCAGATTGAAACGCTATAAACAGCTGGATGGTGCCTGGGACATCCCAGAGCGTCACTACCCTGATGTTACCTCTGCTTTTCCATCCTCCTCTTGTACCCAGTCGCTATGCTTGCGTGACAACGTTAGGCTCGACCGCAATCGCGTGGCCTCCATCGCGCAGCCACATTGAGCGATCGATGCCAGAAGCCTCATTTTGAAGCCCGCTCGCCCGTCTAGAGACTCGTTTACGTGCCAAACAACCTGCTCGTCAAGGGTGATGTTATCTATCTCGCCGGCGGAGACCGTGCCCCGGCTGCTGCCTGCATGTACGATTCTGCCAATTACAGCCCCTCGCAATCTTGCATGTCGATCCTTGCGCACCCGCACTCATGCCATTCTTGCAGGTGCCGTGACCCACGCGAGCAGACGCACCCCGCGTCAGGCCTGCGAAACAGCGGGCTTCTTATGTAAGAGGCGCCTCTTAGTCTTTTCTGACTCTTGATCCACGAGCCCACACGAGGGTTCGATCACGTGGTGGTGCAGCCTCATCTGGACTCGTGACGGCTTGACCAACCTAAATCTCCCCATATTTCTCAGACGAAGCGAGTCAGAGCATCGTTTATCCACGGCCAAGCCCAGCTTGGTCAGCCAGGCAACGGAGCCTGCACAACGCCCCAGCACACATATACTAGGTCTGCTCCAGTCCAGCGACCGTCTCTTGCCCTGCAACCCAACCCCGTATTCAGCCAACCCCCATTACTTTTGGCCTCACGTCGCTTTTCGTGCGCATGTGCTGACGGGCGGTTGCGGGGATGCGCTCCGAATCACTCAGACCCACAGCTTGCCGTGGCTGAAGTCAGCCTCTCCAAGGGAGATGTATTTGCAGCCGCCACAGAGATGCAAGAAAGCCCAGCAGTTGGACACCCGTTCAAGTGCGTCAAGATGAGCAGGCGTTGCTCTTTTGCGCAAGCCTCTCGGGGTCTCTGTTCTCCAACGAGCGGCGACCCTTTTGCTGATCCCGATTGTTTCCTCTCATCCTCAGGCGCGTTCCATTTCGAGTGTTGGAAACACCCTTGGGTGCTCAGCTGCGCGAGGCCAAGCGTCTCTTGGACAGCCGCTCCAATAGCTGGCTGCAGATATCTCGCTTAACCACCAGCATTCTGCTCCAGGTTGGCCCGCATGGTCATAGTTGGCTTGTGATCCTGCTGCAACGCCCCAGCCCACTCTCAGATATATTTGCTTTCCGCCAACACGCGGCCCTCATGACGAATGCATGCCTTTCGGCGTTTTGTATGTTGTAGCGGGCATGCATTTGCATTTTTGTCGTCACGCTCATCGCCAGCCTGCTGCACGTTTTGCTCACCCCCGACGGTACGGCCTCGCCAGTACACACATTCACCACGCTCACCCGCTCTCGGGAAGGAAGTAGTCAAGGGGATGTCAACCTTCATGCGTCCCCACCAAGACTGGGGACCGAGGGAGTGTTTCAAACCCTTACTCAAGCTGTCGTCTTGGCATGTTGTAGACATTGGCACCTGGACAGAGCAGTTTTTCGTGATCCCCATCATGATTCTGCTACCTCTGCTGCCGTTGTCCTGGCCATATATCTGGATTTTTTCCAACCAGTAGGTTGTCGCAATCTTGCGCCATGATGCCAATCTTGCCCAGCCTACGTTCCTTTTCTTGCTCTCACTACACGCCGTGCCAAACTTTCAAATCGCAGCTTTGTGGTCGCGCGAACCCTGGCCATGTTCCTGGGAGGAAATGTGCAGGAAACCAAAGACGATGATTCAAGCCTTGACTCCTGGGAGGAGGAGGACGCTGACACCGACAGCAGCGGTGCGGGTCACTCACGCACTCGTCCTACCATTGCCCCTTCCGCCCCCCTCCATTCTCCCACCTCTCCTGTATTGCTTACAAAACGGCCTGTCAATACCCATACTCGGTGCAATCTTGAGTTTTTCCACGTGACAACACCTTGTCGACCCTCATGTTTCAACTCGCTCGTTCTGTGAACCAAAACCTAGACACGGTTATTTTCACACCCAGCTCTCTGGTGTGGTCCACCCTCTGGCGCATCATGAAGGGGGACTATCTGCAAGGACTTGTCCGACACACGAATCTCGTCTTTGTTCTGGGCACGTACGTTAAGAGCCGGCGCCCAGTCAGCGTGTACTTTCCCGTGCACTAATCAAAGACCCAGGCCACCGTTTGTGGCCCCCTCTCTTCTCCTCACTCCTCCTTGGGTCGGCACGGTAGGCTCTCAACCCTCACATTTCTGGACAAGGAAGGCGTGCTAGCAGACCCTGCACCGCAGCCAGATCGCGTCATGTTTTTTGATAGCAATGAAGACGAAGGTCGGTGACAATCAACCCTAGCTTTTGAAGAGACAGTACTGCTCTTAGAATGACGCTACAACCGTCCATGACAATTCAAACTTGTTTCTGCAGATGCCCCTCTAGCCGAAGCAACGGTGGCTACAGAGCTCAAGCTAACGCGCCCGGAGTCCACCTCCTTTGGCAGCCCAGTGACATTCGAAGATAGTGGTCGGTGTTGGATTGCCTGCCACATTTCTTCTGCCTGCTTGGTGCTGTCCACAATGCCTTGTCTTTACAGAACCCACGGGGGCACTCCCATGCGTACCCACAGATGCGCGGACAATGCACTCGGATAGCCTGCGACCCATCGGCTTGAATGTGCTTCTCAATACGCACTGCATGCACAGCGATCATGGGGCTGATTTTATGGACCACCTTGCAGGTTTGTTGTCATTTTGGCTGTCGGTACCTACAGCAAATGGAGTAGCGCAGGCAATCCCCGCAACCTGGGTGCGGCGGTGCTTTGTCTCACTGGACCGGGTGGGGGGCACACCAATAGCCATTGACGTGCGTGAACGTGGTGCGCCAAGCTGTGATCACCTTCCCTCGGCGCGATGCCGGAGTTACACACAGCGCCAAGTGTGCATGTGTCCGCTTGCCGCGGCCATTGGCTTTACCTCCGAAGCCGTCGATCGCTTTCGCATTTATCAGCGCCTGGTCACCGTTGCACCCTATCATGACATGGCGATTGCTCAAGCTGCCGCTGCCAAAGAGCGCAAGGCCTCCTTTGTCGCACCTGAAAATGGCGTGCCAGACTTTATGGCCTCGCGTGTGACGCAGACTTACGACGAGACGGCCAATGCACGGCGCCATCGTCTTTTGCTCTCACTCGCGGCCCTTCCACACATGATTGCCACGGTGGTGGAGGAGGACAAGGGCAAGACGATGCAAATGCTCTCTTCCGGCACCTGCGAGATGGTTCTCGACCACTGCACAGGTGCCTGGGACGGGATGAATGTGGTGCCTCTGGATGAGAAGCTGCGAAGCCGCATCCTTGACTTTCAGGCGGCGCACGCCGATGGCATGTCCTGTTATGCCCTCGCTTACCGTCCCATGCGCAAAATCAGTACCGCACCACTCAAGACCACCTACGCTGAAATCGGCGCCGACTCTGCAGCCGCCATCCCCCTTGCGGCTCGTTTAAGCGAGATGGCAGCGGCAGTACCCAAAGCCTTTCGTCCCACGGATGCGGCACCTATTCATGAGCACCCCCGCCTGGCACCACACAAGGAAAATTCTCGGTTTGTCGATCATCGCGACACACCTCTCCGTCAAGAGCTCGCTCGCTTTTGCACTTGTACCCTTTGCCACGTGCGCGTCGTCCCCTTTTCTCAAGATGACAGCGGCTCGAGTCTTGCCAACATGCTCATCTTTGTCTTTTTTTTTTTTTTTCTGTGTTGGGTCATGTTCATGTGTTCAGAAACCGCCTGCTGGAAAAGTTTACTCGAATGGCCAAGAAGCACGCAGCCAACCGTCCGCCCAGCGATTCACCACGCAAGCGCCGCCCAAAGCGCAAGCACCAACACACGGCGAGCCTGGAGGACCTACCGCGGGCTACTTCAGCTGCCGTTGACGAACTCAGCGATGTCGCTGGCACGCACAAGAGCCGGTCCCCGCGTACACGACGCTTTGACAGCAGCGCAACCGACGACGGAGACTTACGGGATGGTGAGGATGAACGGGACGAGCGCCGTCGAGATCCAGCTGACAACCGCAGCAACAGCCATGATCAACACGCCCCACACGGCCAAGACGACCATACTCACGCTTCGGATCATGACTCAGATCGAGACTCACAGCACGAGGAAAGTCACGATGACTTTGCTCGCCAGCCTCGATATCATAGCGCCAGCATCAGTCGCAGTATCGATGATGGCTTGCGCTCCGTGAAAAGGGCCCGTAGCCATTCACACGAGCTGTACAAGCCACCCTCGGGCGAGATGCGCACATTCCTTCGTCGTTCTGAGACCGACGGTGATTTCACGCGCCCAAACAGTGCTGAGCATACCCGTCGTCGCAGTACCAGTTCACTCGATTACCCGCACGCGCGTCGATCATTGGAGCACCTCGGGGAGAGTGCGCCCCATGACTTTGCCCCGGCCAACGTGTCGGATCATGACACCCAGCAAGCTTCAGATGATCACGAGGAAGATGGCGTTGCAACCGCACCTATAAGTCCCGTGTCCGACTCTCCGCTTCACGAATCCAAAGATATGGATGATGTCGACTTTAGCGTCCACCCTTCGCGTTTGCTGGCAGACACCAACCGGGTGAATGACAACCAGACCACAGCGGCTAACTTGGGTCTCCCATTCCGCAGCACTCGTGCCGCGTCCACCAGCTCGACCCCTTCCAATTGGCAACGATCGCTCGAAAAGTATGGTGCACGCCCAGGCCCTCGAAGAACATTAACTTTGTTTCTGTGCTCAAATTGCTGATTCTTGTTTGGACTCGTCATTCGCTTGCCCCCTTCTCTCAAATGAGAGCTGTTGAATCTCACACAGTGCCCGTGCTGCGCTGTAGCATACAACGCGACCAGATTCTCTTGGGCGCCATTGGTGTTCGGCATCGTGCGTCTGAGGACGTGACCGAGCTTATCAAGGACCTCAACGATGCAGGTGCGACTATTTGCAGACGGCTCTGCCTTTGCTTGTGTGTTGTTGCTTTTCTATACTTTGGCATTGTCTATCCTTCTCCGCAGTTGCCCACCAACTGATTGATGTTCTACCACTCTGCAGGCATCCGGTTTGTGTACTTCTCCGCAGAGAACGAATTGCAAAGCAAGGCACTAGCTGAGGACATGGGACTCGAGACGGGGTGGAACTGTTTCATCTCGCTGAGCGACGACGGTCAGGTGTGTGTGTGTGTGTGTGTGTGTGTGTGTGTGTGTGTGTGTGTGTGTGTGTGTGTGTGTGTGTGTGTGTGTGTGTGTGTGTGTGTGTGTGTGTGTGCTCTTGAAAACCACCGAAGAACTTGCTTTGCGGCCGCGACCTGCTATGCAAAGGGTGCGCGGCGGGGGAAGGGGGAACAGTTTGCGTTTTGGCAAGCCATATCCCACTCCTGTGGTCTGGCGTTCATATTTTAGGGAGGTGATGCCTATGTCATCAACCACGCCAACCTGCCACGTGGTATCCAAGCTGTGCGACCACATCTTTCGGTATGTATCCTTGATGGTCGGCAATTATCGACTTGACTTTGTCGCGCGTTGACCTGGCATGCCACCTGCGCAGGACGTGGATAATGTGCCTTTGCTGGTTCCTCTGTTTTCGGAAGCCTCACCCAGCGCTACCCAAGAAATGATTGCCATCATGCAGGAAAATGACCGGGTAAGGCCATCTCTCTTTTTGTTTCCTGAATCAGGTCATGAAAGCCTCTTACAGTCCATGACGCCCCGGTGCGATAGACTGTCTGTGCATTGGGGTCAAGCCTGCACAGCGAGCATATGCTTTCCTACGCCCAGGCAGACCTGGCATTTACCGTTGACCCTGAGCGCGCTTCGTTCTGCAACTGGCCATATGCTCGTATCAAATGCTCCCTCTCGAATAAGCGACCACGTTACGACCTTCCTCGGATAATGCCGCACAGTGCCGAGGAGGTGTCGGCCGCGCTCACCTCCTTGCCGTGTGCACTGCACATGAAGCGCCACGACGACGTCCGGTGAGGCTGCTTTGGCGTGTACAAGAGTGAAGCGATTCCCTGAATGCGTGCCGCGCCCGGTTCAGGGGTAGCCTGCATGCGCATGGCTTGCTTGATTGTCACCTTCTCATGGTCTTAACTTGCCTGCTGGATGTGGCCCTTCCGGGGACGGGGGTTAAACGCAGCATCACGGCCTTGATTGCCGAAGCACGCCGCCTGACAGTGAACGTGACTCAAATGTTTACATTTCTGCTTTTTCATGGGCTTTTGCTGGCGTTGATGCAACTCGCGGCCCACTTGCTTTTTCTTCCCCCATTATTTTCCGGCTTTCAGGTTTGTGCAGCGTTGCGAGCAGGCACTTGGACCAGCTCTTCTTTGCATTCGTTTGAACACTCAGCGATCTGTGGCTGCGCTTGCAGGTGGTCTTCCTGATGGCCATCGTGCTGCCTTGCATGGCCATATCCATGCTCTTCACGCGTGGTGAACGAGGTCAGTTTTTGTTGTCAAAGGCCCGGAGGTGGCTAGTGCCATCATTGGCGCGGTGTCTTTGAGAGCTGCTCTGGTATCATGATGTCATTAATCTTGGGTTTGCGTAGCCATTATGAAGGTGCACACTAGTCGGGCCAAGGACCGCATTACCAGCGTTCAATACCTACTTGGTGCCTTTGGTATCCGGTACGAGATTTTGCATGGCTCGAAGATGGTTCGATGGGAAGGTCTGAGGGACGCTCCTCACGACACTTGTTCTTGCGCAGGTGCTTGACGACCGGCTTCGTGTGTGTTATCACGTTTGCCTTGATGCTTTTCGAGCTGTGCGCGAAACGTGATGGCACATGTCATTCATTGCTGGGTGATCGCGAATTTCCACGGGCGCACACCTGGAATGGCCGTGCCACCGAAGAGCTTGAGGTGTGTGGCGCCACGGCCTTTGGGAATTGGAAGAATTCCAGCGTTCGACTCAGCCTGCATGAAATCATAGGAACTGGTGTTTGCGCAAAACACTGTGGCTTGGCTTTTCACCTTTTACACCTGCATCAGTTCCATGAGGTTGGTAGAGCGCACATTACCGCTTGAGTACATGCGATTGAGACTGAGAGTTCATGAGCGCTTGATCCAGCTACTTGCATCGGACGCGCGGAGTCCATCGCTTTAATCCTCTGCGCAACAAGTAAGCGTCGCTTGGGTCGCGTGGGTAATTGTACAGATTGAATATGATTGAGCCTGTTTCACATCTTAACGCCTTGCTTGTTGCTGTTAGGATCTGGGTGGTGCTGACTGCCTTGGCATTGGCCTTGCAAACGTTGTACTTTTTTGTGGCGCTCTCCGTGGTGCGCGGCCGCTCTGGACCGAGCGTCTACCTCAGCGATGTACGTTTGCCCCTGTCGTCTTCTTGGGTGGCACCTTTTCGCCTTTGGCCTATGTGACACACGACTTTTGTCATCATGATCCCGCTTGGGCCGGATGTATAGCTTTCTACGGAGTTGCTGGTGCTACCGTTACTGTGGCCTGTATTTATCGTGGCCATCAATGAAGTGGTACGTCTGTGACTATCGAGAGAGCGGCGTGGTATGTGGTGGGATCTGACCTCATCGATTCATGTGCTATTCGACTGGAACAGTTTAAGCTCGTGGATGCTTGCATGGAAGGGCGTGATCAGAAGCGCGCACAACTTGATTTTGGCACCAAGCTGGGCATGTACTCACCTGTATAGGCATAGTAATTGCCATGTGACCTGCCCTGGTGGGCGGTCACCCATAGCCTTGACATGATTCGTTTATAATTTCTTGGATTCCTGTTGTCCCCCAAGCTGCTTTGCTGCCGTTGTGACTTGGGATTTAATTTGTGCCAAAGATTGGGTGGTTCAAACTCAATTTGAGATTGGCGACCTTGGATCGGACGCCAAGTTGATGAGAAATGACCAAGCAGCTCGTGGTCTGTCCTGTTCAAGTAGCATGCAATAACACGTCTCAATTGGGCTTGGCTTCTTGGTGATGGCTAGAAGGGGCCTCCTCCAGGGTTGCAGTTTGAGAGGACACCGGCGCATTGTCCTCGGCTGATGTCGGCGCTGCCGAATCCGGATCGGGGGTCAAAGTCGACATTGGTGTGGAATCGGGTTGGGGGTCACTCGCTGACGTAGGCGCTTCACCGTCGACGTCCGGCATGTGGAGCTGCTGTAACATGGCCTCTAGTTTTTCGGCTTTGCGCTCCTCAAGCTTTTGGATGATCAGCTGGCAGTTCACGTGCACACCAGAATGAGAGCACGTGGGGCCGAATGCGTGAATGCGAGTGCTCGCCGCGTGGCGTACCATAAGATGTTCAGTCAGCTGCTCTTTCATATCCTGCGTGCGATGGAGCTGCAGTTTTGCAGTCACATATTCCTGCTCTGCGTGGTCGAAGCGTTTTCTAAGAAAGGACCCACATCCATAGTGTCAGGCATGATTGGGAAAGCAGCACGTGCTTGACAAGGTAATACAGGCACTGGCACGAGCGAAAGGGGTTGAGTACTTACTTTGCAGTTTCGTATTCTCGGGCCGAAGTTTCAATGCGGCCACGAATTAAATTAATATCAAAACTCAAGTCTTTTTCCAGTTGGTTCAGCTCAGCCTGCGGCGCGCCCATGGCGGCTGGGTGTTAGCTTGGGCTGAAGCAAGCGCCCGTAAATTGGTGTCCGCATATTGGGTTGAACCCCCGACTCAAAGGCCTGGCTGCAACGAACCTGCAGCTGCTTGAGCTTTTGTGCCTCACTGATCACTTGCGTCTGGCGAGATGCCAGTGTCTTCTTCAGAAGCTAGAGAGGGCTCGAGTTTGGAGGTTTGGGGTGTCAGGGCATGACCAGTTGCGCACAGGTGCCGAATTCAAGATTCGCGGGATTGGGAACATGGGGTCCGGGTGCCTGGCGCCTCACCTGCTGACGTCGCTTGTTGGCAGCCTCGATTTCGCGTTTGCGGCGCTCGACCTCTTCCCAAGTCGAGAGAATCTTTGGCGTGGGCTCATCGGCCAGCTCAACCTCGGGCAGCGGCGCCGTCTGATCTGGGGGCCCTGCTGCTGCTGCCGCCACCACTGCTGTCGCTGCCGCCGCCGCCGCCGCCGCCGCCGCTGCTGTCGTCGGATCGGTGGTTTCTACGACTGCCGGGGAAGGTTTCGTAGCAGAGGGTGCCTCGGATGGCGGGGTGGTTGTTGGCACAGCAGGAGCCTTCTCTGAGCACAAGGCGGTGTGTTCCGTCGCAAGACCTTCGTCATTGACACTCTTGGGCGCGAGCCGCACCATTGGCGGCTGGTCACTTTCACCTGTGGAGCGGCGCGGACCATTCCGACGCGCGCCTAACCCCCGCTACATGTATACGCCGATCACAAACGGCGAGTGAGTGAGTGAGTGAGAGAGAGAGGGGCAAAAACGGCCAAGCAAGGCCATGAGCCTGCTGTGCGGTCATCGCACCTGTGGCTTTGAAGCCTGTTGGGCTGGTGGTGGTTGAGACGCAGATGGTGGGCGAGCAGACCGCCTGCTTGAGGCACTGCCAGCCTTTTTATCCCCGCTGTCGCTCGCCAGCAGCGCCTTGAGCTCTTGATCACTGAAACCGAGCGCCGCCATTTTAACGTCTCAGACCCAGGTGCAAAAAGTACCTGCGACTCTTTGGCGTTCAACGCCCAACCCATACACACGGACAATAATAATATTGATCACAAGCAGTCACTGCCCCCAAAGCTGCTCCCATGGATCCGTAGCCAGCGCCAAAAGCCAGCGCCAAAAGCCAGCAGCGCCAGCGCCACAGACACCGTATCGCATAAAAAAAAAAATGAAAAAAATCAAAACTTCCTCTCTCTCTCTTTTTTTTTTCTCTCCTCTCTCTCTTTCTGACTGTATGTCTGACTGTGTGTCTGCTCTCTCTCTCTCTCTCTCTCTCTCTCTCTCTCTCTCTCTCTCTCTCTCTCTCTCTCTCTCTCTCTCTCTCTCTCTCTCTCTCTCTCTCTCTCTCTCTCTCTCTCTCCCTCCCTCACACTCACTCCCTGCCTCACACTCACTCCCTGCCTCTTCCTTTCAAGCAATTCTCTGCTCTGCTGTCTCAGTCTGTCTCTCTCTGCCCGTCTGCGTGTGTCTCTCTGCCCGTCTCTGTGTGTGTGTGTGTGTGTGTGTTCTCAGCCTGTCTCCCCTGCCCCGCCCCCCTTTCCTCTCTCTCTCTCTCTCTCTCTCATAATCTCTCCAGCCATTTTCAGGTGGAGAAGCGCATCATCGTTTGGGATGGCGAGTACGGGGACACGGGGACAGGTGCTTCGCCTGTATCGGAGCATTATGCGACAGGTGGGAGGCGTTTCGTTGGCCCAGAAGGTGCCGCGGGGAAAGCGCGGGTGGCTGATTGATGCCAACGTGAATGGTGATAGGCCCGGAGCTGGCAAGCGCAAGAAGCGAGCGAGACAGCCGCTGAGCGCCAGTACATCAAGACGGAGGCGCGTCGCCTGTTCAAGGCGAATAAAACCGTGCGCATCTCGTTTCCCGTCACCGCTACAAAACTGCCAAAAGGTACTCGGCCTCATAGCTGTGCGTCTAGCATAGGTGACCGAGCCAGCAGATATTGCGCGCTACATAGCCGAGGCCGAATCCCGCATTGAGCTCGCTCAACACTATCAAAACCCATTCCCTCGCATGGTACGCACTGACACTGACGCCTGTGCCTCCTACCATCGACATGGCACTTGCAGCCATGACCGACACGCTCACTTTAAGTGCTGTGTGATGCTCGTCTCCTCATGCTTTCCTGCCCTTGTCAGATGAACACCCCGCCAGGCGCCGTGTCCAAGGCAAAACGCTTGCAACGCCGCCAAGAGACACTGCGCAAGCAAGCTCTACCGGCGTACTTGCAGAGCTACAGCCCTGACCGCTAAAGCCTGCGTTTGACGACACACAACTAAGAGATGCTATACCAGAATCGACTTTGATACCTCACAGCGCACGCCACAAGCCTGCAACTATTTCCAACATCCTCCACGCGCGCTCTTGGCAGACAATGACCCACAGCTCAAGACAAGCCCTCGGGAATGACGTAATCCTCAAGCAGGCTCTGCTGCTGTATCGCCAGGTCGGCAACACTCAACTCGCTGCTGCCAGCGGCATCATCCAGCATGCGCGCATACGAGCGGGGCGTCTCCTGGAGCGTACCCTGGATTGCATCAAGCTCCTCGACAATGTCTACGGGTTCCATCAGCGTGAGCGCATACTCAAAGCACGGCCCGGCGCTCAAATCCCACTCCCAGTGCCCACTGGGTCAAGGCTTTTGGTGCACGCAGCAACATACTGGCAAAGGACGGGCGCTCGCGAACTTTGCGAATCCAGCAACGGGACATCAGGTCGTAAACGTCGTCAGGACAGGCATCATCTTTGGCCAGGCGCTCGCCGTTGAGCACGGCTTGCGGCACGGCCTTGATGGGCAAGCGGCGATAGGGGCGCCGTCCGTAGCTAGGTGCATTTGCACAAAAGCAAGCAGGGAACACCAGTCAGCCACGACCTGGACCACGGGCAGCCCGAATGCAAGGGTCTCTGAAAGGCCTATCCGTTTACCTGAAAAGCTCATGCATCACAACACCCCATGCCCAAACATCGGACCATTCTGCACACCACATCATGGGGTCAGAGTGAGTAGTTGGCAGCAATCACGAAGGAACGTCGAGTCGAAAGTACCAACCGCCGAGCAGTTTGGGTGGCGGACCCATGGCTTCGGGCGCCAGCCAGCGAATAGAAAGCTTCATGGCCACGCGCAAGCGGTGGTATCGCTTGCCCTCATCATAGCGCCGCGTTGTACCTGGGGCGGCCAAGTATGGTATTTGACAAGAAGAGTTAAAGGTGAGGGTCGGGATTGCTGGGCGCAAGCGCAACACTCAAAACCGGGTTGCTTGAGGCAGCCAAGGGGGGGCCACGCACCAAAGTCAGCGAGCTTAAGACCATTGTGATGCAGCAAACAGTTGCGCGCTGCCACGTCCAGGTGCACCAGGCGCTACAATCCATGCATGCCACCCTGTAAGCCCGCCGCATTTTCCGCAAACCAAGAGGTTTCAGGTTTGTCACTCAAGCCGCAAGCGCACCTGGGATGCCAGGTACTGAAGACCTTTGGCAAGGTCTGCACCCGCTCGCAATTGCTCACTGAGGAGCATGGTTCGACGACGTGTGCGCATGGACTCCAGGTGCGAGAGCAAATCCCCGTCTTGGCAAAACTCAAGAACCATCAGCCACGGTGGTTGAGCAGCACAGACCCCGGCCAATCCATTCTATCAACACACAGGCAGACATATCGGTCATGGTATAGAAACAGAGTCTGAATCAAGCCGCAAACTCCTCGGCGCACCAGCATATCACTCTTGAGCGAGGCCATGAGTTCAGCTTCGTGCAGAAACTCTTTGCGATCTTCCGCCGAAGCTACGCCACGGAGCATCTTGATCGCCCGAAGTGCCTCTGTTCCGTCGTCAAGTGTCTGGCGAGCTAAAGCCGAGCAGAGCAGAGACATGGGTTTCACCATGAGGACATCCGGATGAGGCAAGAAGAACAAGAACAAGAACAAGAACAAGAACAAGAACAAGAACAAAAAGGCAAAAGAGGAGGAAGGAAGAAGTCTAGGTGCAAAAGAACACAGGGTCTTGAGCCCTTACCGAGGTAAACTTCACCAAATTGTCCGGCACCCAAGGGTCGAATGGCGGTCAGCTGACCACGCGGAATCTGAACAGCTGCCAAGGGCCCCTACTCGTGCAAATGTTGTCATTCGTGTTGGATGAGCACCAGAGCACCTGCTTCAACCTGTGGCTACATTGATGGATGGTGTGTTATGCGGCGCACCAACAGACCTGGACCTGCTCCGTAATTGAGCCCATGGGCATGAAGGGATTGCCCTGGCGGGCAGCCACATCCTCCTTGGCCACAGCAAATGCTTGTTTGATTGTGTCGCATACCTTGGCCGCCTGGGAACATGGGCATTTGTCAAGGGTTCAACAAACAGCGGCACGAGAAGCGATGCAATGATGCGATATGGGGCTGCTGAGGCAACGAGTCTGACAAAGTCAAAGCAATCAAACACAGACCAACCTCCTTTTGCGGGCTGTAGAAGATGCCATACATCAAGCCTTGACGTTGCTTGCCTGTGTAGAGCACACCAAAGTAGTTGTCTTTACGGACAAAAATTTCGTTGACATATTTGATGTTCTGCACGATGGCCCGGGCAAAGGGTCGGTAAACGCAACGATCGGAACAAGACGACGATCGATGGCGCATGATCCTCCCTTCCAACCAAACGATTGAAAACATGGGCGGCGCGAGCGTTCCACAAACCGTGATGAAAATCGATCGCGAGACCTCGCGTGACACGGCATCCACGATGCTGCAAATGAGTTTGGCAGCAGCCAGGGCGCTGAGAAATCCACAAGACATGGAGGGAGCAGGCCCATGATGGCCATCAGCAGCATGGCCGGCGTACGATACCATACCGAATGCCCTCTGATGAAACGACCATGACAATGGCGTCGCTGTCGGCGGGTTTTTGCTTTTTCTTCTTCATGTCGGCCATGCTTTCCTCGAGACCTGCAAGCATAGCGGCTGGCATCTAGAGAAGGCCAGTCCAAAGGACGACAAGGGCAATGATGGGGTGCTGAGCCATGAGACGCTTTGCAAGGCGGGTAGGATGAGTCTCAGCCGCACGCACCTCGCCATCTTGGGCTGGAACAGCAATGGCTAAAGCGTGCATCTCGTAGATGCCCAAGGTGGCGCCGGTTGCCTTTTGATGCCGATCCTGCTCCACGACTGTGCTCCCCAGACCCAACGCGCATACAATGGCCGGAATATTGCAGGAGGAGGATGTGAAATGATCGGGAAAAACAAGGATTCAGATCGAGAGCGTGCACGGCTGAGGGGGCGTGTTGCATACCGGGATCGGTCGGCTTGCTGCGCACAAAGTGCATGATCCGATCTACAACAGCCGCGCAAATCTTGGGCCAGCCCCCATGAGGAGCATGAGGTGCGAGCAAGTGGCAGATGAGCCTGGGCCGAGGGACGATGAGCGTACGGGTTCTTTGGCCGAGTAGACGTGGCAATAAATGAGACCGAGTTTGGAATAAAAGGCAAGATAGCCAAAGCGTTTCTTGTCTTTGGCATCGGCCGAGGCAAAGATGACCTTGGACCATTGGTCTTCACTCAGCACCTCGGTGGTCTGGTTGTTGACCGTCTGTGCCCCAGGGCCAGTCAAGAGGACAGAGACATGGACAGGGTGATCAGAGCACACAGAAGTTAGCAAGTTCAGCAAATCACACACACACACACATCCAAAAAAAATAAAATAAAATAAAAATAAATAAAAACAGCTCAGGCTGCACCTGACGCGTGGCGTGAGCGGCATGTGAGACTGACCCGAACACCGGTGGAGCTGACAACAACGTGAACGGTTTCTGGCTTGCGCTTGAGCTGTTTTAGCCGCGGAGCCGCCGTGCCAATGACCTGAAGGGGCGTTGACGGGATTTGTGACGGGATTACTGAGCTTCAAGCACATGGATGATGTTCATACCGACGAGCCAAAGCCAAACCAACCTGCTTCCCAAACATGTCGAGCATGGTAGGGGTTAGGCGTGCTGCTGCCACTGGAACACTGCCAAGGTAGGAGAGCTGAAAGCTGCCCAAAGCCTGCTCTTGGACAGCAGACTGAATCTCCTGCAGGCCCACATCGCCGGAAGTAAAGGCGTCTGCAAAAGCGCGCTGCAAAAGCATTCAGTATGTGAGAGAGAGAGAGAGAGAGAGAGAGAGAGAGAGAGAGAGGTTGGGGAGGAGCGGCTTGCCCAGGGTCATCGGGCACCTGCACGGGCGGTGGAGGAGATACCTGTTGATCGGCGTCCAGTTGATCAAACTCAGATCGGAACGTGTTGAACTCTACAGGCACATCCATGGCTGGCTCGCGCTTGTGCTTGGACGCCCGTCGCGCCATTCTGACAGTCCCCGTCAAGTCCTGTCCCTCCTATTTGCCACAAACCAGCCCCAGCTGACAGCGCTTTTCTTGCTCTACCCAGAGAGAGAGAGAGAGAGAGAGAGCGCGCGCGCCACAGAGAGAGAGCGAGAGAGAGAGAGAGAGAGCAAGTCAAAAAGGGGGCGGAAAAAAATTCAAAGAAAAAAAACCAAAAAAACGTGACAATATTGTCAGACATCTGCATCAACTCTGAAAGAAACGACGGGAACTAGTGTTGTTCACCCGTTGCGATCTACGAAAAGACCTTTTCACTGTGCTATACGCTATGCGGTGTCAAAGTTGCGGAGTTTGAATTGGATGATGCGGAGCCAATGGCTGCTGCTTGCGCACGATTTGGGATGAACCAGTCTCAATTTACATGATCAAGGGCCCCGTTGGGCCGGCGAAGGATTGAAGGGTGTAGACCTATAGATGTGTCGAGCCAAAAGGGTTGCCAAACTCGGCTGGGCGTGGTTTGATGTACATTTGCATCTCAAAGGCTCAAAGGCAAGGGGAGTTGTCCAGTCTTCTCATCTTCGTTTGTTGTACCCAACCGATGGCCTGAGGCGTCTGGGTGGGTTCTCGAACATATGCATCAAAAAGGAGGCTTGGCCTCGACGCTCAGGGCAGCGCAGTCACTTCAAGGTTGAAAGTACCTGTCGGGTTGGGTTATTGGGCATCAGGCACGGCACAAGGGGAGTATGAGAAGTGGAAGTGAAAAGGCCACGAATTGCGGGCGTGGCGGAGCCTTCAACTGAAAGGTCAGAGTGAGCCAGGGGCAGAATACTTGCAAGAAGGAAGCTGGGTCACTTCGGTGGCGACACGAGCGTCGAGACCAAAGGTTGCAAAGCCGCCTCGTAGAATGCCTCGATGAAAACTCAAAAGCTGGCAAGGGAGTAACAGGAGAGTGGGGCGTCGGTCGACAAGTCAAGGTGTGGCTGCGCGGGGTCTAATGCATGTGCCTGGTGACGTGTTCAGGGGGTAGCAGGCAAAGTCGCACCAGCTGAATATCTTCGGGAGTGGCCTTGTCCACGACCAATTTGCGCAAGGGTTCAAAGGCTTCATCTCGAAACGAGTAAGTGCCCTGGTCAACGTGCGTGCAAGTGAGAACGCAAATCCGGTGGTGGTGAGGGTCATTGTGGTAAAAAGCCGGCATAGACGCGCATTGGTGCGAGTCGCGAGCGTACGTGGTGATTTGTGCGGAGGTTGGTCAAAGCTTTGCCGTAAATTTTGGGCCAGATGTCTTTGCAGATGCTGCGGAGAATGTCTAGTTGCTGACGATAGCGAGTATTAATGCCCGAGTGTCTGTGATAAATGGACAATGACTGTGAGGCTGGGACGAGTCAGACGTCCCGGGGTCAGCGGGCGGGTTGGGCAGATCGCTTGTTGACATACACTTCGTATAGCATAAGGCCGACGCGGTAGCCCAGTTTTTCGAGCCAGGCTTGGGCAGCAGAGGCCTGTGAGGAGTGAGCAGGACAGCAAAAAGTGCTTGAGTTGCCCCAATACATTTGTTGCACCAGGGTGGGCATCTGGGGTCGAGGCTTGGCTAGAGCGCCGGGTGTACACACTGACTGCAAGCAGACAAGCAGCCGTAAGGGCCGAAAAACGTGGGCATGAAGGGCTGCTGCATACCTCGCTGTGTTTCGCCTTTGCGTGGCGCACAAATTCGGCAAAGAGGAGATCGAACGAGGTCGAGGCCACCGTCTTGAGGGCGGAGATGCTGGCCATGGCGCCGGCGCCCTATCACGCTCGAGGCGATCCGAACCGCGTTGGCCCCTTGCTGCACCTTGCTCAACCTTTTTCTTCGTCTTCTCTTCTTATTCTTGTTCTTCTTGTTCTTCTGCTCCTCCTCCGCCTCCTTCTCCTCCGCCGCCGCCCTCTCCTCCCGCGCTCTCCCGTCCAGAAGGAAAGCCGGTGCACCCCAGACAACCAGAGCGCTCGTTCGTTCCCCGGATCGGCCGCTGTCTGTCGCCCGACAGCTACCAACAGATATTGCTGACAAATATTGCTGACATCTTGGTATACGTTGCTGACGTGGTTCCGTCGATGATGCAATGAACGGGGAGGTATCACACGGTGACGGTGGATTTCTGTTGAAATAGAGGCTTGCACCACCACACCCAAATAATGCCATGTATAGTGTGAACAAATGTACACTTTACAGCTTTACCTCGGCCACGATTCCCCTATTACATCATCCTTTGGCCATGAAAGTGTGATAATGGTTATACTTACGCTCATGAACCTCCTCCATCAAGGGCGCACATGCTGTGAGCACGAGTGAAAGCGGAATCTGTGTGTGTGAAATGGCAGACTGTGAAATGGCAGGAGTCTGTGAAATGGCAGAGCCCCGCATGCCCAGATTGATTAAAGGGCAGCCTTATGCTTTCAAAAATCCCGTAGTGCGCTGGAACCCTGGCGTTCTGAACCTGACGCGCACGTCTGAATGGTGGTGTATCAAACTTTTGATCGGATATGACATTCGTCACATGCTCACTCGCTCACATCAAATGTGTTTGTGTACATGTATCTTCTCTCTTCTCTCTGTTCTTCTCTCTACGCTCTTCTCTCTTCTCTCTCTTCTCTCTCCTCTCTCTTCTCTCTTCTCTCTCTTCTCTCTCTCTCTCTTTTCTCTCTCTTCTTCTCTCTCACTTTCATAACTGACCGTGTGTGTGTGCGAAACGAGTCAACGCGGCACCTGCTCTCGTCTGCTCTGCTGATTCGGCTCCGTGGGCTGCCGGTGTGGAGTGTAGAGCGCCTGCATTGAATGTTGGTATCCGTGTCTTGGGTTGATAGCCGACTGCCAAGTCAGCACCCTGGTTGATCATCGGCTGCTCCCCTCCCTTGCCTGACCCCAACCCCAACCTTTCAAGGCTTGATGGTGGTGGCAACCAGGGTCGATCCTCTTCAGAATGACCGAAACAGTCGCTGCCTCGTCCTCTTTCTCCCGTGTTGCTCGCCGTCTTGATCCTCCTAGTGACGAGGAGCTTGAGCCCACCCCCTGCGTCAACTGCGATTGTCTGTTGGCATCGGACCCACGCGCCCGAGCCCCCAGCCCCACCGCCTCCGCGGCCAGCCAGACCTCTCGTGCCGACGGCAGCATGTTTGGCGCCCTTGTACAATGGATTTCTGGCTCCAAATCCCGGCGCGCCACCCTCTCCGATGAGAGCAGCTCAAAAGCGCTCAAGGCAAAGAACGCTCGTCGACCCTCCGCAAGCCTCGAGTCCTCGGCCGATAACTTTGAATGTCAGGACGACCTTTGCTCCCGTGCTCGTGCCCGTCATCGGCATTCCTCCATTGTTCAACTCGACCCAGACGGTCTTGGTCTCATCGTTGAGGACCACTCGGGCCCGCCAAAACCCGCCCCCGGCTGCGATGCGTGCCCGCACTGCGACGATACCTGTCGCGACAAGACTTGTGGGGCCTGTATCGCCAAGCGCCAAGCCATTTTGGACCGCCTGGCTTCGCGCTCCCGAGGCTGTAACAAGCGCGTCTTTACCCTTTGCCAAGTTCGACGTCACAACACGTAAGCATTCATACCGCCTCTCCGCCTTCTCATTTTTCTCTTCTCTCTTCCTTTTCCTCCCCTTCCTCCCCCTCCTCTCTACCCACCCCTCTCTCTCCCTCTCTTCTCGATAAATAAACTCGCTCTACTTTCCTGTTTCTTCCTCCCTCGCTCCTGGAAACCCCCTTTTGCTTGCCTGCCCATAGCTCACAAACTCTTTTTGCTTTTTTTCTTTTTTCTTTTTGAATCTCCCGCCTCATAGAGCTGATGATTGCTGGTTGGCGGCCGATCGTCGCGTTTTTGACGTGACCCCGTTTCTGGGCATGCACCACCCAGGTGGTTCGGCTGCGTAAGTCAATGGGCGTCACTTCGTCCCCTGCATCCACGAGTCCATGCCGCTCATCCGCCTCGGTGTATGATAGAATCCTACGCAAGGCTGGCACAGACGCCACACGTGATTACAACTTTCACAGCTCAAAGGCGCAAAGCAAGCTCTGGAAGCGCTTTGCCATTGGCGTGCTGGCAAAGTATGTCGCAACCACTTGTCCCGTTTCAGCTCCCTGGATTTTTTTTTTTGCTTCTTCCTTCCCCGCCTGCCTCACCCTTTCGCCTGACTGTTTGCAGGTGTGACTCAGAAAAGCCTGCTGGCAAGACCAAGCTGCTCTCCTGGTAGTCTTGCCTTATTCTAGTAGTGGTAGTCCTTGTCTGCCGTGGTTGAGTCTTTTCTCTTCTCTTCCCACCAGGCCCTCCCTCGGCTTTCATATCTTTTTTTTTCTTTATTCCTCTTTCAGTTGTCGCTGTGCGACCGTCCTTCTGCCTCTTTTGAATTGATGCCTTCCTCTGCTTTTTACATGTTAAACTGCGTCTCCACGCTCATTCAAGCGCGCACCTTCGAGAGCGTCTCCACAGCCGCCACCCATGACTCTGCTCCGAAACTCAAGCCCAAGCATCACATCTGCTCCGATCGAGCCCCAACTCCGAATGGTGATGATAACTGTATCTCCTCAAACGTCTGACATAATCATTTAAATACTGCCACTTGGTAACAGCTACTCCTCGAAATCATATGCTACCAGGTGTGATTCATCGCTTGAGCCAACAAACTTGCTTCCAAGCGCTTTTTCAACAACGTGGTTTGAACCTTGGGCACTTTTTTTTCCTACCCTGGTAAGTGTGTGTGTGAACAGACCCGGTTGTCTGGCATCGGTGAGACGTCTTCGCGCGCTCGCGCGCGCGGCGCTTGGTTGGCCCGGGGGCCAGTGCCGGACAGCCCAGGTGGCAGTGCAGGATTCTTTGGAATGCAATGCGTTTGTGCCGACAGCGCCTGGCTTTGTCAAGCCTGCGAAACTGCCACTGCCATCCCTGGGCTGACCCCGACAGGTTCAACCGAATGCATGAGGCCCTCGAGTCGGGCGCAGCACTTTCACCGTTTGCTCTCGTAGCAACAGGAGTGGCGACGGTGCTGCACCCATCTTCATATCCTCGCACAGATCTGATCAACGCTTGTTGGACTTTTTTTCTGCCCTTCCTTTGTCGGTTTTTCCCCATCTAGACCTTTCACCATGTCGAAGCGTGGAGCTGGAGGTGGCCGTGTCCACAAGTTTCGCATCAGCCTCGGTCTGCCCGTGGCTGCTGTCATGAACTGTGCCGACAACACCGGTGCCAAGAACCTCTACGTGGTGGCCGTCAACGGTGTGTTTCTCAGACCACCTCAAATTGCTTTCACCTTAAAGCACGCGCTCTAGCTATCATTGGCTCACATGCTTGGCATACGCATCTGCTCTTGTCTGTAGGCTGGGGTGCTCGCCTCAACCGCATGCCCGCGGCGTGCATTGGTGACATGTTCGTCGCCACTGTCAAGAAGGGCAAGCCCGAGCTCCGCAAGAAGGGTGCGTGACTTGACTGACCCGCAGCCTAACCTGTGCAAATGATCGGCGCGCATATGTCGCATGGGTGGCATGCTTGCCCTTGGTTGTGCTCGCCTTCTTTCATCTCATACGTCATGTTGTTAATGCGTATGATCATTTTAGTCATGCCTGCCGTGGTTATCCGCCAGCGCAAGCAGTTCCGACGAAAAGACGGTGGCATCCTCTACTTTGAGGACAATGCCGGTGTCATTGTCAACGTCAAGGGTGAGATGAAGGGCTCTGCTATCAACGGCCCCGTCGCCAAGGAGGCCGCCGATGCCTGGCCTCGTATTGCCAGCGCCGCTCCCTCGATTGCTTAAACAAATTGACGCGGTGAAGTTTTACCCCCTTTTTTCCCTTTCGCATTTCGGACCAATTCATTGTGAGCTTGGATATCCAGCGTCAGCCGCAACCGAACCAAGGCGAACGTTCAAAATTTTTCTCGGCGCAACCCTTGCGACCAAATCTTGGAGCAGAGCTACCCGCGTATTGTTGAATGACATTTTAATCTCAATTAGCAACATGGGGTCAGTTAACTCTGAAATGTCGAGTCAGCAAAAAGGGCAGCGCACACAAAACGCAGCACTCTGTTCAACGCCATGCATGGACACGCGAATGAGAGGGGTTCACACAGGTGGAAAGAAAACAGAAAACACATGTCACCGTCACCATTTGCACGGCGCACGAGGTCTCTGCTCGGGCCGGCCGCCTTTAGGCAACGGCGTTGCAGACTTTGTTCAACACCTGACAGCGGCCCAGCGCATACCAGCGGGACCTGCGCCTACATCGGCCCCCTTGTTTCCTCGGCTGCGGTCGGATCAAGCGGCACCCAAAAGTGCGCTCAAATCCTCCCGCAAGGCAAGGGCAAAAGGGAACGGGTCGCAGGTCTGGCCACTGGGCACGCCGGGCCACCAGGTTGAACAGCGCCCGCGCTACATTAATGTCTGGAGAACGACATATCACTCGCACTCGTGGTATATTCAAGGAGCAAACAACCAGGCCCATGGGGCAAGGCGTTTTTCTAGCCCCTTGGTGAACGCCAGGATTTCGCACGACTCTCCGCACATACATACACCAAGGCAGCGTCGGCGAGGCATCTCACCTGAGAGAGGGAGGAAGGCTAGGTGCCGCGGTAGTCAATGAAGATGCATCGAGTGCGTCTTGTTTTTTAAAAAAAAAATCAAGATTGCGCATCATCCTTGCCCTGCTGAATCTCCAGGACGGGTGCTTCGGGCTTGCTCAGAGTTGAGTCGGAGGGTGGACTTGAGGCCTGCGGGGCTTGACCATGACGTTCCAGGTCTGGCGTGAATGGAAAGGGCATGTACACCCTTACGCTTGCTTCTTTCGACCCTTTTTCTTTTTCTGGCGCAGCACAGCACAGCACAAAATCACATACCTGCATCATCTGTGCCATGAAGAAAAGGCCTGTGCGATCGGGTCCAGCCGGCTGCATGGTCTGGCCCACCTCGTGCAGCTCGGCTTGCAAGCTTGGGTCGTGATTGTCGCGCACAAAGTCAAAGATAAAGGCAGCATCGTAGCCCGTCAGTACCTCGCGTAGGTCTTTGGGGATCGAGGCAGCCTCTTTGCCTACCCCTGCAGCACGCTGGGCCAGGATGGCCCGCATGGCTGCGGCCAGATTTTGGAAGCGCGCTGTCGCAGCCTCGCGCTCCTTCGCGGGCGCCACGTCCGGGTGGTAGCGCTTGGCCATGCGCAGATACGCCCGTTGGATCTCTGGCAGTGCCGCATCCCGTGCCACACCAAGAACCCGATACGGGTTGGTCCCGCTCTCTACCCCATAGTATCGTTCCACCCTCAGCCACTGACCCCACTGACCCCGCCGGCCCAGCCAAACCCCCCGACTGCCCATGCGAACGGCCCCGTTCATTGAAAAAAAAAAAAAAATTAAAATAAAAAATTCAAAAACTCAAAAAAAACCGTGGTTTGTCTGACGTTTTTCTATCTGTCTGACAATGGTGGTGTCGCTGCTTTCGAATGTCAGCAGGCATCACACGTCTGCGGACATGGAAAAGGCTGGTGGACGCTGTCGGAGGCGATGTGGGATGAGGATCGGGTTGAGCGAAGGTGGGGTTGATTGATGGTGGTGATGATGATGGCTTCAGTGGGAAGGAGTCAGTGGATGATGGTGATGAGGTGCAACATTGCGCGTGCGGGGAAAGCCACAGCTCGTCATGCTCCAGCCTGTCGTGCCGAGTGCATTTTTATCTCCCAACACCAGAACGAACACCAGGGCTTGATCAAGTTTGTGGATGATACCTGCGAGAACCAAAAGGAGCACGCGAGGACCCAGTCAAGCGCAGAGCAACATTGGTTGATAGTTCTTTTCAATTGTTAAGCGACCTTTTCGTCATGGCGATGCGACTGTGTGCCCGCCGAGCAGTGGCGCAGGTCCGCAACCTGCACCTGAGCAGTGTCCGGCCGGCCGGAACTGCTGCCCGCCGCACGCTGGAGGCCAATGATCCATATCAGACACTCAGCGTTGAGCGCGAGGCCTCAAGCCAACAGATCAAGGAACGCTACTACAAAGAAGCCATGCAGTTGTATCCAGACTGCTGTGACGGCCGTGACTCGCCCACGGCCATCCGACGTTTTGACGAGTTGTCGGGTGCGCTGCGCGCCATTCTACACCAGCGAGGTGAGCTTGAGAATGGGGCCGTCAAGGAGGACGACCCCGACTACATGCTCAGTTTGGTTGGCAAGGATTTGAACGAGGAAGAGCGCCAGCAGTTTGCCGAAGTGGGCCGGCACTACCAGGCTGGGGGCCCACACCGCAGCGATATGTGGGAGCTGGCTCACGAGATGGAGCGCTCCGAACGCAGTGGTACCGACCCCTCCAAACCCACCACCGAATCCGAGGCCGATGGCAACGCGCTGGCCAACCGTGGCGGTCGCGTTGTCAAAAATACCTAAGCAACTGGCCCAGTCGCCGCTGATGCTGAGTCGCTCTCGTGTTGGGATCGTATCCTATTTGAGTCCCTTGTCCTTATGCCATTTTCTAATTGACACGTAATCCTCAAACTCAACACGCCACTGTGATCTCCATCATCCTGCCCAACCAGACAGCCAACAAACACTATGCCCCGCTTCCCTATGGCACAGAGCAGGGTCGTCTTTCCCGCTGATTCTACCAAGACCGTTCCCTTGGCTGCAGTTTCGCCAGATAGTTGATAGTCGTGACTGTGGTTTCGCCAAATACTAGATAGATAGATAGTCGTGGCTGTGGTTTCGCCAGATGTTAGATGGATATCCTTGGCTGCGGTTTCGCCAAATAGTAGAGATAGATAGCCTTGGCTGCGGTTTCGCCAGATAGTAGATAGATAGCCTTGGCTGTGGTTTCGCCAGATAGTAGTTGTAGATCGGGACAGTGAGGAGGGATCTCGTTCATCCATCCATGCGCCCGGCTCACCCCTTGATCTGGAGCTCTCACAGTCGTCCGGATTTGGGTTATTTTGTCAGAAATCATTGTCAGCCACTTTTTGTATTGCACGTGGACTGATGCTCTCTCTCTCTCTTTCTTCTCTCTCTTTCTTCTCTCTCTCTCTCTTTCTTCCTCTCTCTTTCTTCTCTCTCTCTCTCTGATGAAATTTTGAATTTTCCGAAATTTTCGCTCTCTCTGTCTCTCTGTCTCTGTCTCTCTTTTTTTTTTTTTTCTGCTGCACAGTCAGTGACGTATCTGCTTTGGTCAGTGGCTTCGGCGCGCAATGAGGGGAAGGGTGGTCCATGCATGTGCGTGTGAGGTGCTTGGGGAAGGACCATGGGGCGGGGTGACATGAGCCCGGGCTGTGCCGTGTTGACGAACCGACTCAAATTGCTTCTGTTTGACGCGCGCCGTCGAAGAATTCCAGAGTCTCGACAAGATGGCCCCCAAGCGCGGTGCAACCAAGACGGGTGGACAGCCCAAGGCCAAAAAGGCCAACCAGTCCACGGCCAAGAAGACAGCTCCGGCCTCGGCCCCGGCTGGTATTGAGCGCCAGGACATTCACGGTACGGCGTGCAGCGTGCCCATATTCGCTTGCTTGCCCCACCCTCTCAATATCCAGAGACTTGACCCATTGGTGTCCCGCACATCCCTTTCTAGACCTGACTCCTGCCAACAAGGGCCATTGCTTGGCTGTGGGCATCAACTGCTTTGGACAGCTCGGCGTCGGGGATCACATTACCGAACGCAAGAAGCCTGCCTTTGTTCGCAAGGGCACCCTGGAGAATGTCCTGGTATGACCTTGCTTCTTCACGTTCAGCATCACCCTCACCCCGCCCCGCCCCCCATATCATCGACCGGTGCACACAAGCTCACGTTCACGTTACACACCGACGGGGAAAAAAAAAAATCCTGCCAGGTTACAGACGTAGCGGCAGGTGGCATGCACACAGCCGTCGTCGACGAGCAACATCGAGTCCACACCTTTGGTTGCAACGACGAAGGCGCTCTCGGCCGCCCAGCCTCTTGTATGTCCCTGCCACCCCTTGACTCCCTGGACCGACTCGAGCAACACATCCAGCCCTGGCGCGTTGACTCACCTCTTGTCGTTGATAGCCAACGAGGAAGAGAGCTACCCTGGCCTGGCGCAAGGCCTTGACGATATCAAGGCCATTCAGGTCTGTTTCCAGCTGGCAGTGTGCAAATTCATTGAACGGCATCGAATATTTGCATGGCTGTCAGCCCCACCTTGCTGACCAGGCATCATATCCGACAGGTGACAGCCGGAGACTCCCATACAGCGATTTTGGGCAGCGATGGCTACGTCTACGCCGTGGGTGTGTTTCGCGACGATGACGGCAGTCTGGCTTTCAGCCCTACCAGCTTGATCGAGCGCCAATTCTGCCGCGTCTTCCCCACCGACGAGATGCTCAAGGCCACTCAAACCCGGCGTCGCAAACTGCCTCTGGCCAAGCAAATCTCCTCTGGCTCGGATCACCTTCTTATTCTGACCACCGAGGGCCAAGTGTACAGCATGGGCACTGGCAAGCAGGGCCAATTGGGTCGCCTACCGGAGAAGAAGACGTACGCTGCTTTCTCTTCTTCCCCCTGCCGATGGTCTGCCGCAACCTGGATGTTCAATCTGCCGCCTTCCCTTACACCGATGCTGTGCCACTGCTGCCTTGGCACGCTCTCAGAACCCGCGACGCGTATCGCAGCCTCGGCGCCCTTCCCGAGGAAATCAAGGCGCGACGCACTACCCCCGAGTTTTTGCAACAAGTGCTGGTGCCTGGCCTCGTCCGTGCTCGTGGTTTCAAGTCGGTACGGCTGATCCCATGTGCACCCTCACTCTTCCCCTAATCGCCCTCAACTCAACATCTAGCATCAAACCCATCTCAACTCTTGGGCTTTGCCATTCGCTCCGCCCCAACACACGGCGCTTAGATTGTCAAGGTGTTCACCGGCAGCTGGGCTTCATTTGCTTTGGATGACGAAGGCCACGTCTGGGCATGGGGCCTGAACAATCACCATCAGCTGGGCGTGCCTCGTAGCGAGAAGGCCTCCTTTGGCGTGGATGACAACTGCGTCTTCTTCCCTCAGCGTGCCACCAAGTTTGAAAACCTGGTCGGTACAAGGCTCGATTTCCGACTCGGCGTGGGCTGCACGTCGCCCAGAACACCTCTCATGCCATCTCTCATGCGTGCGACAGGATATTTCAGCCATTGCTGGTGGCCAACATCACACGCTCGTCTGCAGCGAGAAGCAACAGAAGGTACGCGTGGGCTCGCCCACAAAAGAAAATGGCAGGCAGAAGGGTGGAGGTGGTGGTGGAAGCCACCACGTTGCGCTTGACTCGTGTGCGCTGGAGATTGAGGTCGTGCACAAGCCAAAGTCACCGTTCCGGCATGGGTTGCAGCAAGCAAGAGCGACCAATATCAAACCACCCCTTGACTCATGCAATCGCCTCGCTTGCACGCTGGTTCACAACAGGTCTTCGCCATTGGACGTGGTGATTGTGGCCGTTTGGGTCTGAACAATGAGGAGGAAATGCACGAGCTGTCAGAGGTGACGACGCTCAGCAACCAAAACTTGACGGGCGTGGCTTGTGCAGTTGCCGCTAGCTACGCGTTTAGCAACCGCGGCAAGGCCTATGCTTGGGGCTTTGGCACCAACCTGCAGCTCACCAACGGCGAGGACCAGGATGAACTCGTCCCCATTGAGCTCTCCGGCCAGCAGCTGGACACACGTGCTGTTGCCAAGGTACAGTCATTGATGCCGCCTAGCTTGCCCCTGTCTTCTCCCCGCCGTCCGTACTGTGCGTTCCAACATCTGCTCACGACCTGAACGATCGTGGCTTCTTCTTGCCTCCCTGTTTTCTCGGACGCGTGATTCTTGTTTTTGCATGGGTGCGCGCTATGTTGTGCTTTGGCCACGACTCGACAGATTTCGGGAGGTGGTCAACACACGGTGATGCTGGCTGTCCCCAACGATGCCTAGACCAAGGGTTGCAACCAGATCCGTGAATCATGCTCAGCCAATGTTGGCACGGTTCCCTGTTCTTGTGCTTGTTTTCTTGCTTGCTCCTTGCTCCCCTTTTTTTCCGCCTTACTTCCTTTGAGACAACTTCAAATCTAAAGCGCATAATGATATTATTGGACCACTCTTCCGGTGCAGACTTGATCACCTGGACCATCTACCCCCACCAGGATCCTAAAGCAGGCGCGCTTGCAAGGGGCTGGGCTTGTATCATATCCACAATGCAAAAATGGAGCTTGAACAACGACTTGATGGGATCATCGCTGAGCCTTTTTTTTTTCTCGATTGCTGGTTCGCGAATCAAGGGCTAAACCGGGTGAGTACCCAGATAGTTTGCAAGAATACAGAACCTTCATGGCACACAGCCAGGTTTGAGTGACGCCAAGACCAAGGGAAAATCAGGACCATTGCTGGACCCAGAGGTTCTGACGAGACATGTGCCTGCTGACTGGCACATTGGACAAGCAACAAAATTGGCGCGGGCCAGCCAGAAGCTGTGCACCATGGCTTCGTTGCAGATGAGCAGCAAGGATGGCTTTCGATTTGCTGCTATAAACTCGTCAAAGCGAAACTCTAGCAACAAGACAAGACGCTACTAGCTACACTTGAGATGGTAGGGGAACAGCTAAATCCCCCACCAAAGGAGAAGGGAAAGGGGGGGAAAGAAAAACACCAACAAAAGCACATAAGGAGGTGGTTGACGAGCGTTGCACCTTGCTCATCCGCCCTTGGGGCGTGATGAGGGGCACACGAACTCAATGGGGGCCTCATTGCTGCTCGCGCTCCTGAATGCGCGCTTGAGCAGCGTGAAAGCCAGGTCGGCTCTCCTCATACTTGTGGACCATGTAGCCAAGGGCAAAACCGGTGCCGATGGTCGCCAGGTGCAGCTGGGGCGCTGCGGTCATTAGAAAAAAAGGGGTCAGACATGTGAGTTGAGGCACAGAGTTGAGGTTGAGGTGCAAGAGTTGAGGTGCTCCTCCGGTCATCATCGACAGCGGCTGGTGAGCGCAGCGAGGGTTGCTACTTACAGCGCAAGAGGGGAAGTCGGCGCACCGAGTTGGCGTAGAGGCCAGTAAAGGCACCGCCCAGGGTGAAATAAACGATGGAAGCGATGGTCATCTCGACGGTCAAGGCAACAGCAGACGACGGCAGACGACGACAGCGACGGCGACGGCGACGGCAGAGAAATATCCAAAAAAAAAAAAAAAGGCGGCGATGAGAGGCAGAGATGCTGTGCTCAGCTCGGGTGAAGCGCAGAGAAGAGCTAAAGCTTCTGATCGGGCTAAAGGCGAAAAGTATAGGGTTTTGAGAGATGATGGATGTATTGGCCCTGAAGCAAGAGACAAGGCAACCACACAGCAAAAGGTCAGAATGGGGAATACCTGTATTATCTGAACATGCTTTTCCACAATACACTGATACAGAAATTCCGTGATACCAATATCTCACTGCCTTCGCCGTCTGTCTATTGTCAGATAAGCTTGTCAGACGAAGTTTTGATCGAATGCTTGTCTACATGTGTAAGCCAAGTCATGGTGTGTGGAGTCCATCCCAAACTCTGCCTCTCTCTCCCTCTCTCTCTCTCTCTCTCTCTCTCTCTCTCTCAAACACACAT